AAAAACCAGATATATACACTAAGGGACAAGGAAGGCAAATTAACTACCGATATGAATAGGATAGTTAAATGGTGGAGGAGTTTTACTCAAAGCTGTACAGTAGCCGGCACAAGCACGACCATAATGTAGAACTAGCAGTAACCCAGATGACATCCCACCAGTATAATAACGAAAAGAAGTCGGGAAAGCTTTGACAGGAATGCGAAGAGGCAGAACTGCTGGTGAGGGTCGGGTAACATCAGGTCTGCTGAAAGACGGAAGACAGAATGTGTTGGAAAAACTGGCTCACCTGCTTACGAAGCATCTTCTGACGGGGAGGATGCCAGAACCTTGCGAGAATGCTGATATTATCCTAATCCGTGAGGAAGGGAAGACCCGGACTTACAGGCTGATCAGCTGCCCTCCTTTGTATACATTCTATTGACAAAGAACATTGCTAACAGATTTATGATACCATTATATTCATAATACAATATTGGGAGCGCAAACTAACGAGACACAATAAGGAGACGAACGAGCGCTCCTTTGTCTCCTGTGTACAGTTATTTTGTGCTTCCAATATTTCATTATGAATATATACCAGCTTGCCGTCTATCAGCCCTTTTACAAAATCATATTTCCAGCAACCAAAACAGCCCGCAGAAATTCGAACTGGCTACTCAACAATCAATCACATTCATACTAGCAAGTACGGTGAAAGAGAAATACCATTACACGTAGCCTTCATAGATTACGAGAAGGCGTTTGACTCAGTCGAGACATGAGCAGTAATGCAGGCACTGCGTAATCAGCACAACAAAGAAGCTTACATAAATATACTGGAAGAAATCTAAGAAATCTACAGGAGATGCACAGCCACCATAGTTCTACACAAAGAAAACGTCAGAATCCCCGAAAAAAAGGCGTAAGACAGGGAGATACAATGTCTCCGATGCTATTCCTATCGTGTTACTGGATGTTTTCAGGACCATAGACTGGGAAGAGTTAGAGACCAGAGTCAAGGGAAGAGTACCTCAGTAATCTGCGCTTTGCCGATAATATTGAAAATTCGAATAACTCAGGGGACAAATCGCAATTCATATATGCTGAATTAGACGAGAGAGGCCAGAAGTTTAGGTATTGAAATTAATCTGCAGCAAGCGAAATTAACGTACAAGAGCCTTGGAAATAAATAGCGCTTCGTGATAGGAAGCAGGGCACTTGAAGTTTTAAAGGAGTACGTCTAATTTGGACAGGTAATAACCATGAAGTGGAAACACGAGATTGAAGTAACTAGAAGAATAAGACTGGGGTGGTGCACATTCGGCTAGTCTTCTGAAATCATGACTGGTAGATACCGCTGTCCCTCAAAAGGAAGGTACAAAACAGCTGAACCTCGCCGGTGCTTGGCTATGGAGCAGAAACATGGAGGCTTACAAAGAGGGTTCAGCTTACATTAATAATGACGCAGCTAGCGACGGAAAGGAAATTGATAGGGGTAACCTTAAGAGACAAGAAAAAAGCAGAGTGGGCCAGGGAACAAGCCGGTGTTAAAAAATATCGTACCTGACATCAAGAAGAAATGGACATGAGCAGGGCACGTAGCGCGTAGGGAGAATAGCCGCCGCTGGTCATTAGGAGTAACTGACTCGATTCTCAGAGAAGGCAACCGGGTGAGGGGGGACAGAAAGTTAGGTGGGCATATGCGATTAGAAGTTGACGTGTATTAAGCAGCAAGGCCGAGTTGAGTGGCGGAACAATGGGAGAGGCCTTTGTTCTGCAGTGGTCGTAGTCAGGCAGATGATGATTATGATAAAATATCTCGCTGAATGTTTCATCAATGTGCATGAATTTCCCCACACATCACTGAAACAGTTTTGAAGGTGGGAAAGTCAAGGGTCTTTCAACTACTAGATCGCGCAGATGAGGGCAACAACGTACTTCCACCGCATGTCCAGAATAACTGTTCATAAGTGAAGCTACAACTGCTCAACTGCTATAAACTGCGTCGGGTAACAACAGGTGGGTCCAATAAGCTTCTGTTTACACTACAGTTCCCACTGTAAATGCGTTGACACGGTCCTTTGAGTTAGGATCGGTGGAAATCGATGAACGAATGTCTTCATCTCTCACAAGTGAAACACAGCGCTAAAGAGACGACACAAGAAAGGACACGGCATCAGGGTGGTGAATAACCGAAATTGTTTTCAAAATCCTCACAAAATAAAATGACGAATCCGTTTATCACTTATTCTCGGTGCAGCTTTCACTGAAATTTGATAGATAATGCCAGCTTATAATCCTTTCTCGTTAGGGGAATAGCAACAGTGTTAAACCAGACACGTTATTATTACGTGCCGTCTTTTGTTAACCATGCGTGGCTGTAGCATATATCTAGTACTTTGGGACGTAGAGGGGATGCAATTCGAACTGCCCGCACAATTTCGTGCACACACACAGACTATTCGATCTTGAGCAAGATATCTTTGACAGCGCCTGGCTGGGGGGCGAAGTCCGGCATGATAATCATATCACTTGAGCTGAATTAGCGCAACTCAGGCTTTACGTTATGCCTTGTCAAATTGAAAAAAAACTGCGGCTAATCAGAAATACATAGAAAATATTGGACGCATTATTGGTTGGTGTAAGAGAAAAGAACACGCACTTCTATGGAAGGGCTACAGTAAACGAAAATTAGGCATAAACTTGATTCCCCGTATGTCACACATTACCAAAGGCTTGCAGAAGAAGAAAAAAGTACAAAGTAATCGCAAGTATTTCTAAAGTGTGGTACTGGTCGATTCTCTAGTGACCTTGGAGCCAACAGCAACAAACAGTATAGCGATAAAATGTCAACTATGGTTCACTTGTATTGCCATTGAACGCCTTCCTGGACCATTCCCGTGAATCGCGGTCAATAATTCTTAGTTTAATGTAGAAAACACTAGTTCTATAAAACGCTGAACGCGTAATAATTTACGAACTACAGCTCGAAAGTTCCCTGTTGAAGTATAATAATAATGTACAAGTAATTCGTTAATATGACAAAAGGAGATCGTCTGAAGTCAGTAGGGATGTGTAAGTAATGTACAAAATTACTTACACATACAGGCATTCAACAACTTCAGTGATTATGGTCGCGTGATACGGTCACTGATGGCTAATGAGCGAAACGCGTTTCTAAGGAATGATCATTACAAACGGGTAAGTACTGTCTGGCAGCGATTGAAGCCCAGGCAAGTGCACTCTCCGTTGCGCGTCGCAGTTTTCTTCGGGCAGTGGAACACGCGCGCAAAGTGCCGATCGAATCCTGCCAGGTCGTCGCAGAGCTCTGGCGCGTCCGTGTCGCCGCACACCGTGAAGCACACGATGCGGAAGAAGAGCTTCTTGAGGACGGAAGTCCCGCTCTGGGGCGTCGTCGCGGAGCCAAGTTTCTCGGAGTGTTCGTCGTCCGTGACGTTGTCGTTCTCACCCAATCGGCGGGACTTCAGGAACCACGACAGCTGAGCGGACCAGCGGAACCGCATGACGGCCGTGGCCAGGCGAGTGCTGACAGGCTGGCCCAGCACGGAGGACGCAGATTGGGCGAAGCATTCTTTGATGTATTCCTGTGCCCAGTTCGGGAAGTACTTGGTGGCGTCCGAGTCGAAGATGGAGCGCAGAATCAAGGTACCCAAGGTGGCGTAACGCAGATCTGCAAGACGTAAGAAGAGAAAGCAGACAATGTTAGCGTGGGTCCTTTGAGAGGAAGATGGTGCCAGAGAGAATCAGAATCGAAAGTCTGGGCTAGTTGGATATGCATGGTATAACTGTACTTCAAGCGCACGAAGAAACACAAAGGAACACAGGGAAAGTGCTTTCTCGTAACATATTGGGCAGAAAAGAATATATAACCAGGCAATCAATATCTGCGCATGCGTGTAAAGGCAAAAAGTGCAACCGTGGCAATTCGAGGACAGAATTGATTGTAGCGTATGCTGGACAACTCACATGTTGTCATCTCCGGATCGGTGGTTACGGTCACATAGACGCCGACATTAGATAGGTAGGCGGAGCTGATCAGGAAGTTGCGGTCGCCTGTGTATCCCACGTGACCTTTCAACTGATACTCCCAGAACTCCACAGCAGCTGGCTTTTCACCCACCCTGGCTGCGGCAACTTGTGCCAGATTGAAAAGAAAGGATCCTCCCAGTGTTGCATCGAGTGGAGCCATTGGTAGGCTGTCGTTTTCAACTTCGTCTGGAAAACAACGTCACTGTTAAGCCGTTGGTGTATTTAGAGTGGTAAGACAGATTTACGATACGCCTGTCGATTTCTCGTGTTAGTCAAATGGTTTTGCTACAAATGCGACCATTGTATAGTTTAGTTGATGAGTTTTGCGTTGTATAGATGCCATGCAACCAATATCGACCAGATGGTTTCGATTTTCGGCATGTCAATGAACATGCATCTTAAGGAACCCCAAGAAATCAAAATTGATCAGTGTGTCAGGCAACGGCATATCCCGAAATCTTGTCATCATGTTGTGTGCTCTGGGCGTGCTTCGTGACTTCAGCAGACAGGAACAGAGTGTTCCACAACCACCGTCATGGGTATTAAGCAGCATGTATAAATGTATATATACACCACAAAGCGGACTGGGGTATAACAGCCGCTTTAGCTTAGTTCGTAGAGCATTGGACGTGTTATTCGAAGGTTGCAGGTTCCACCCTGCCCAATTTTTTCTTCCCGTAAACATTAAATTTACCAATAATAAAGTCGCTTATGTTTTCATTCGCAGCATTGTATAATAGTTTTAATTGACATCGTCTTCAAAGAATACCAAATCTTTGTAAACTTCCGTCTTCTCTTCACATTCAGAGTGCTTGAGCCAGCTAGACTCCCTTTATTCTACAGATAAATCTGACACTCAAGCATAACAACAGCAGCGGGCGTGGCAACTCTGCGAGGATGACAAATCGCGGAAAAGTTAGATAATGTCACACTCAATTATTTGATATTTGGACAAGTAAGCGGCGAACTTAACGAAGGGCTGCGTAAGCACCGGGTCCCGCGCAACGGCTTGGGAGTTTTCTAGGCAGAGTGAGCTTCACCACAGGGCGATGCGTCACAGCCCTGAAGCCCGCCTGTTCCCTGTTTATTAAACGGTGGGTCGCCGGCCGGCACTGGGGATCGAACCCCGCACCTCCCGTAGCTGAAGTGGACACGTACTTGCAATGCAAGAGCTGCGGTAGGGTTGTGTCAGGACGTTCCTACACTATGCAAGGTATGGAAGTGATGCTGCATTTCGCAGGCTACTAGAACTCGTTGAAGCTCTCTAACAACATAATATCGTTCACTATTAGTAATTTAACCACGCAGCGTTGGCCATCTACGCTTGCCCTTTTTGATTCGTGATGTCCAAACACACCTACCATAGGTTACTAGCCGAGCTTTGTTCAGACGACGGGTATCGATCATGAGGCCCTGGTTGACCACAGGTTCTTTACGCAATGTAGATACTATGTCGTCAAACAAATATCTCGCACCAGACACCTGCTCAGTGTGCTGAAAGGTCTTTGCCACCCAGACTGGGTAGAGTCTGTCGAAAAGAGACGCCGTGAGGTGAAGGCACTTCGCCACAAACGTCTCTGCATTTGAGTCGTCCTCGTAGCCCAATGGCGGCACATATTTAGTAACCTGCATGAATGACATGAATGGATGCAATCATTGTGTTGAAGAAACTCATCGAACGCAATTAGACACATTACGAACTCTTTCATAAAGGTGTAAAATTCACAGGCCATTTAAAGACACCTGAGAGTCTTCGGCAATGAAAATATTGTCATAGTACATAATTATGTTAAAGGATTCGTCTAGGCATTACCTGCTCTGAGAAGTATATCCGAGAAAATAATCGGCCGATATCCTTCTCTTTACGGGTATGATTCTACTGTTTCGCACGCTCTCGCTGGACACTATACGCTATTGGCATACTTTCATATAAATCTAGTCTTCAAGTTAAATTTCTCTAAATTCCCTTGCGAAAGTGCCAACTGAATTTTGTAAGTGAAATGTCTTTTTGGCTAGCATAAGCCGGGAGGTGATGCATTTAGGCCGCCTCCCAGTCATTCAGGCTTCGCCGCGGTGGTCTAGTGGCTAAGGCACCCGGCTACTGGCCCGCAGGTCACGGGATCGATTCCCGGCTGTAGCGGCTGCATTCCCGATGGAGACGGAATTGTAGACCCGTGTGCTCAGATTTGGGTGCACGTTAAAGAACCCCAGGTGGTCGAAATTTCCCGAGCCCTCTACTACAGCATCTCTCATAATCATATAGTGGTTTTGGGACGTTAAACCCCACATATCAATCAATCAACCCCAGTTATTCAGCAACATAGTCTATTATGCGCAGGCCTTAGCACCAGCTGCGACTCGCGGCTTCGTTGCCAGGAATATTGAAATTCAAGCCCCAACTCTTTCTTAATCCCTCCCCACCCTCGCACAGCCTGCCCCCATAAAAGCAAAAAATAAGTGCCTTCGTCACATTGTACGATGCCATTGTCAGTCGCGCATTCACTCGGACAAAGTCATAAAGGGATAAAAAAAATGTGATTTACGTAAACGTCTTCATGAAGTTTTTTTTTTCTTTTGCGCAAGACAATTTCGAAGGATTTTTCGATGGCGAATATGCAAGTGTGACTGTACTCTTTGTCGTAATTGTGCTTCACCAGTGTGGTTGACCGAGGGGCAAGTTTGAAGCAACTTGATTTTTTATTACCTAATGCGGACACAAGATTTCGCTCTAATATGCACGTAATTACTATACCAGGATCGAAATGAATAATAATATATGCGTGGGTCTCAACGCGAACCTCTGTAACTTTTCTGGTCTTCAGGCCTACCGTGGGCCGCACCCAAATAAAAAGACAGCAAAGAAAGCGTCCTTGAATTGTGTTATCGCTAAGTAAGTTGTCTGTATGAGTGCAACCGCGGTTACAATGAACGCGTGTTTCTTTCTTGTAGTGAACAAATGACATCGCTCACCTGTGCTAGCAAAACAACCAGGCTGTATTCACCGACGCGTGGTAGTGGCTCCACTCTGAGTCTCTCGATGAGGTCCCGGAAGGCAGACACTCCGTGCACTTCCAACCCATCTTTCATAGGTTCATTCTTAAGCTTCGCCGGTAGACCACGTTCCAGCGCCTTCATCCAATCCACGTCTTCTGCAATAGAATTCAGCTCTTCTTGCCCTTTGAGCAACGACCAATGCAATTCATTTCGCCCAACTGTCAGGTTCTGAACAACCTCGTCAAGAGCGGAAATTTCCGAGTAATTGACTCGGGCCAATGTTGACTCATCGAGGAAGTCATCCAACATAATGAGCACATTCTTCCTTGCCTCTCGTTGGCGGTACGAAAAAGTCGAACCCAACGTTTCGCCCAGATCCAGGCGGAAACCTTCGCCCTTGAAGAATTGCGCCTTCAGAAAGGACGGCAAGCCAGTGCTTAGCGTTTTCGTGACGACGAGCTCGAGAAAGCGACCAAAGTTGTCCGCATTGGTCCATTCCCAGACGGCGATTCCGAAGGTTTTGAGCAATTCAGCGCGATTTCCTCCCCTGTCGAAACCGGCACTCACAATGGCGCAGCTGGCGAAGAACGTTGCCATCTGATTTTCCAGGCTGGCCGGAGTTGGGCCGGAGTCTGAGATGAAAGGGTCGGCCATGGCCGCCAGTTCCCGGGCGACGCGGTAGTTGAAGAACCGAACGTGAAAGTCTTGGTACGACCCCCTGTGAGCCACTTTCGCTTTCCACCAGCCACATACGTTCTCGTGGAAGTCGGAACAAGGGTCGACAAGGGAGTTCAGGCTGTCCATCAGGTACCTGCACGCCAACGGTGGCACGTAAGAAATATACCACAAACACCTTATGCTAAGAAAAATACGAGTCCCTTTTGTCAATAGGCTTTTTCTATAGTACTCTATGCAATTCTCGAAGATGCAAGATGTATTTTAGCAACGTCTGTAGAGTCGCAGTGGTTAGTCGCAGTGATCGAAGAGTGACTCCCCTGAAAAGTTTTTTTTCGGCACGTCACAGTAAGGTTTACTTTTAGTTTTCCGTTTCAGAATGTCTGTAACAAGAAATTTAACCATTTATAGAGTCAATACACAGCTCATTTTGTTTCATCTTATGGGGCTCATATTACAACGTCAATACGAGTTGTAAATGCCTGTGGTGTTTAGCAGTGAAAAAACAATAGTAGACAAAATTTTACGGATCGTAGACATGACTCTTACTACTATGAATTATGATTTGCAAGATGATATTGTTGAGAAAATGGGTCAGGTGTCGTGATCGTACAAAATAATATTGCTCTCAATCAGGGCTCGAGAGAGAAACGGTCGCTGAAAGTAAGCATATGGAGTCATATTATGTCCCTTGAAAAGAATAGGCCTTAAGCTGGGGAATGCAAGTCATGACTAGCAAGCTAATGTGATCTTGGAAAACAAATGTATTGGAGTATTACAATTCGCTGGTACTGAATAGTGATGTTGACAGAGTCCGCAAAAAAACTTGATAAAGACTAGAAGAGAGTTGTACGCGCAATAGATGAAAATCTTGTACCTAGCCCTCGGAGACCTGAAATTTGTGGATCGCATTGGACAGCAAAAGAGCCAGGTGTGTGTTGGTCTTGTGTGTCGTATAAAAAGTATAAATCTCGTTGAAAAAACGTGTATTAATATGAAACGTAGGGAATTTCTAAGATTGTATCATGCAAATGGCGCTCTTACTTCAGTCCAGGCGGCTTGTTGTAATCAGCAAAATTTCAGGCAGCGGAATAGTGCGACTGCCACTAGGCAGAATGTTTTTGAGATCACTGAGACAGGCTTTTGAGCTGCAGTGGAGGTATGTGGGTTGTGCATGACGATGAAGAGCTAAAGTTGTGCGATAAGTTGAGCTGTGCCTAAGAGGGCGTCGTTCCTTCTTGAAATATAGTAACGAGAACAATACTTTCATATGCTAACACTGCCAGGTAATGTTACTACAACACTCTTAGCAACACAAGAAAAATTTCGGCAGATCCCACCTACCTTGGAAAAGGACGTTATCCAAACCATGCGGAGAGGAGGTGAACGTGTTGTAATTTCTAATTGATAGATATGTTATGAGAGCACCCTAAATATATGTACAAATTTTGCACAGATAGAGACATGTTGAAGACTTGCAGATGTTTATATAACCAGTTTTTGCACTTGCGCAACGATGCCAACAGGAACATGACTATTAGCAACACGTGAAGTGATAAGCTGATATGAAGCGCTGGTGTTCTCGAGGATGGTAGACCGGGATACTGCTATGTAAATCAACTTCAGCGCATAACACTTAAACCTGAAGTGACGGCTGAGCGAAAGGAGTACATACGTGAAGTTTAAGGCGAGAACTGCAACCACAATTGACGTCACTAACATTAGGGCCTATTTGAAATGTAGTTTTTAGACTACGCATGGTGCTGTGGAAGGATGCTCGACTGCCACGCAGAATGCTTAGGTTTGATTCGTGCTGGGAGACTGATATTTATTTTTTGCATTCAGTTGGGTCAACACTGCCGATGTCAGCTTTATCTTAACACTCATGCGTTCAAATTGCCCATTTGTGTTCGTTTCTGCATAGATACCGAGTGCGAATCAGCTGTGGCTGATACCCGCAATCAGTGGCCCATATTCGTGTGCGGGTATGTGCCGCTGTCCAGCGGGAAGTATTTGATTACGTACGCGATGGTATTGTGACATTATTCATATCTTGGTCATCGCGTCATATTCGTTAGGCCATCTTACCCTCACATACTAACATTGGCTCCCGCCAAGTTGAAAGGTGATCAGACTAGCAGCCAGACATAAGCGTCTAGATAGATAGATAGATAGATAGATAGATAGATAGATAGATAGATAGATAGATAGATAGATAGATAGATAGATATATAGAGAATAGAGAGATAGATAGACATAGATAGATATAGATAATAGATAGATAGATAGATAGATAGATAGATAGAGAGACAGACTAGATAGATAGATAGATAGATAGATAGATAGATAGATAGATAGATAGATAGATAGATAGATAGATAGATAGACAGACAGACATCCAGACAGACAGATAGATAGATAGATAGATAGACAGACAGACAGACAGACAGACGATAGATAGATAGATAGATAGATAGATAGATAGATAGATAGATAGATAGATAGATAGATAGACAGACAGACAGACAGACAGACAGACACCCAGACAGACAGATAGATAGATAGATAGATAGATAGATAGATAGATAGATAGATAGATAGACAGACAGACAGACAGATAGATAGATAGATAGATAGATAGATAGATAGATAGATAGATAGATAGATAGATAGATAGATAGATAGATAGATAGACAGAAGACAGACAGACAGACAGACGACAGACAGACAGACAGACAGACAGACAGACAGACAGATAGATAGATAGATAGATAGATAGATAGATAGATAGATAGATAGATAGATAGATAGATAGATAGATAGATAGATAGATAGATAGATAGCTAGATAGATAGATAGATAGACAGACAGACGACAGACAGACAGACAGAAAGACAGATAGATAGATAGATAGATAGATAGATAGATAGATAGATAGATAGATAGATAGATAGATAGATAGATAGATAGATAGATGCCAAAAGTGCATGCAGTACGCGAAAAAAGGCTTCGCATTTAAAAAAGGTAAGCTCCGTTCAAGCAACCACGGCACGTCGGCGTTAATCTGTGAAAGACACTCGTTCTGACAGGTTTCTTGTCGAACGGTCGGGCGTATAATGTGAACGAAATTCATAGGAAGAGCGAAAAATTCGTCGTTACTTCCGATACCATTACGGTGGCCGAGCATAGGCGTAAAAACCTGTAAACACTTACCGGTTTACTAAAGTTATCGACCTAAAAGTGGTGACACGCATGCGTCGGCATGTAAAAGTCACTCATGTGAAACGCCTGAGAAGTACATGACGTCATGAAAACGTGTCACTTCTACTAGGTAGAACATTCATTCAAAACTTTTATGGGTGGGGCAGCGATGGGTGCGGAGTGGCACGGCATCGTTTCTCAGGTTGAAGGAAGCTATATCAACCGAAACGAATGATGTCGCACGTACAAGGTTATGTTATGACATCTCGCCGAATCGTCACCGCAGGCAGCCGCCACGTCGGGGTCGGCCACAAGTGCTTGGGAATCGTGGGCGGGATGTTTCGCCGCGTAGACGCCGATGATTGTCACGATAACCAATGAGACCAGCAGCAGCAGCAGAATGCACCAGGTGGCGTCAAGCGGGACATTACAAGGAACGCCGCACAACTCGTCTGCAGCAATGAAAAAGACAAGAGAAATGTATTTCTTCAGGCAAATGTGAAAGATAGCATAAAAAGCGAAAGTGCCGGAAAAGCGTTGCGCGGTTCCTGATGCATTTTAATAGGGACTCGAAAGTGAAAGCCGTCTGATTTTTCTCCTAATTGGACAAGTATTGATCCTGACTGCTAAAATAGGATTATTTGTCAGTCGCTTCATTTAATGCGGTAAAAACCTCTTAAGGGAAAAACACGGAACAAGTTTGTCGCGTTTTTGCCGTGTTTTATTAGTAGTTCTCCAGCAGAGAAGGGGACCTTCTGGAGACTGCTCTGCTATTTGGTGAACAATTTAAGTACACTAGGTAAAGGCAGCACTGCATAGTTAAGGACCAAGGAAACTTGACTGTAGACAGATGAAGCGTGTCTACCAACTGGATTTATTGAAACGATAAAGCCAAGAAAGGGGCGGGGTGACCATACAAAAGAGAGGGCACTTTAGGCAAACCACGCACGATCTCACCGGAGTGCTATATATGCAGCATAGCGCACGCTTTTATCAAACTCAACATTATCGCTTTTCTCGCTTCGTGCATGTGTCACAGATAGCATTACAGTGCTCCGAAATTTTATATTTGTCTGTCTAAAAATGCCACTTGTATATATCTGTCAATGTTATCCAAGGTGTGCGAAGGCAAATATAAAATTTTCGGAACACTAGTGCTATCATTGACACAAGTACAGAGCAAGAAGAACCATAACCTTCAGTTTGATAAAAGCGCATGCTTTTCTTCATGTATAATTGATTGATATGTGGGATTTACCATTCCCGAAACCACCATATGATTTTGAGAGACGCCGTAGTGGAGCGCTCTGGAAATTTCGACTACCTGGGGTTCTTTAACATGTACCCAAATATGAGCACACGGGCGCATACAACATTTCCGCCTCCATCGAGAATGCAGCCACCGCAGCCGAGACTTGATCTCGTGACCTGTGCTTACTTCATGTATAGCACTCCGGTAAGTTCGTGCGTGCTGTACCTTAAATGCCGTCTTCTTTGTATGTCAACCAACCCCCTTCTTGACTTCTTCGTTTCAATAAATTCAGGTGTTAGGTGTGCTTTGTTTTTGCATAGTGCGGTGTTTTTCGTCCTTAATTTTGAAGCGCTGCCTTTACCTACTGTGTGTTTAAGCTATCTCCCACACAAGGTTTTCTGAATTTTAAGTACAGCCTTACGACCTGTTAGCTATCTCAACAAGTATGACATGAGCGCATCATCAACGCGAATGACATTAGCGCAATACATGAATATCCGAAAAGTCGAAATGTATCTTGACTGATACGTCTTCTCTTTTATTTCCTTAGAGTAGAATCCAAACACGTTGTGTAGGCTGAATCTTGCGATTCAAAGGCGAATCTGCCTTTCTTTAGATTTCTCTTTTCTATCCAGGTCAAACTGCGTCAGCAACCGCTATCAACCCGAGCACACACCCTCGGGACTTGTTTAATTAATAATAGCCTAACTTTAAGTTAAGTTTAGTGTGACAGATTTTAAACAAACATACTTAAGAAAACAAATCTCATTGCTAGGAATAGCTCAATCTGTTTTTTCGGGCCATATTCCTGTTCTACCATAAGAATGTTGCATAGAATACACGAGCCAGATTTTCAGCAGTACTCAGTTATGCAGACCTGTATGACTATAAACTATCAATCGTACTTCGTGCACATGTAAAGATACAAAATGTCTCATGCTTATGCAGATGAAGTTTGAGCTGTGTATATATGCGTATGATTTAAAACATGAACTTACACTTCCCATTTTTCGTTTCTTCGTCTATGGGGTGCCCACGTTGCACGTCGGCTAAGTTGACCACTTCTCGTGTGCTGAAAGAGGAGCCACTGTTAGCTGGTGTCCCGTCAGGAAAATCGTGTTCAGCCGCAGGATCCATTTCCTTCTTCTTCGTCTCACATCATGGTTCATACACGATGCAGGGGACTGGCTGAGTAGTAAGTGAATTTTTTTAGCATTTTCTTTGGTGTAATATGTATATAAGCTATATCGAACCAGAACAACGAATTGAATCACTATATATTTGTAATAAAATGTTCAAAAACGGAGTTTATAGCTAAATATTGTTTGAGATGGACTTTTGAATTCCTCAATGGCGAACCAAACATCCCTGTCACAGTAGCCCATAGTAGACGCGCCAAAAGAAAGAATAACTGATCCTGAGACTTCGAGACCCATATTGCTTGTTAAAAAACGGAACCTGCCTGCGTTTTTTGTCTTCTTTGCCCAGTAAATCCTGCTGTGTTTATGATGATGATGAAGGCATATAAGTGTACAGTTCCCACACACTCTGGGGTATCGGTCTCAAAAGAAATAACTTTAAAGCAATCACATATAAATTGTAGGTATAACGGGTTGTTGTTGTTCTCCTCTTAACATGGCACATAACAAATGAAGAGGATTATCTGTGTGGGAAGTGAATTTTCTCGATGCTTTCCGCATTATTTATTTCCTAGGCGCACCACCTAATTATTTATTACTTTCAAGTGCCAATAGATCCTTCTCAAAATATGAAAGTCAGCTTTTCTGCTAAGCAGTTTTAACAAGAAATGTCAGCTAGTAACTTGCTGCAAAAGGCCGTCCAGGAGCGGATTTCTTACGTGATGATATGGAAAGAGTCGTCTCTCCTAATGTAAACACTCATAATAGACAAGCTTTAGCACGTTCAACAAAGACCACGTCTCCGTTTGAAGCACGATAGGTGCCGCCAGTACTTTAGCAAATACGCAGTGCAGAGTAATATTTGCAGTGCGCCCATGCAAATTATGAAAAAAAGGTCCACTGCCAGTTTGGAAATATTTAATGCATGCACGATTCAGCGATGAATTAGTTCCTTTCTTTTTCGAGTGTTGATGCTTACCTACTATACGAAAGGAACATTCCGCATCCAGAGAACTAAATGCTCATGCCCAGTTGAATAACCAATACAGAGGCGCAAACCGATGAAAAATTTGGGGACCATTGGTGTCCTTCAGGTTTTATTACCTTTTTATGCAACGTATAGGCTGGTGATTTCCTGATCCGTCGATTATTCAAAAATTCTATACATTGCAGTTACAATAAACCTGGTTATGGGCGTGTGGCTGGTCGGCATTTTTTTTGTGTGATAAATTGAAAGTAAAAGACGTTCATGTATGTTTGCCAGCTTGTGAACGGATAAAAAAATTCTGAAGGAGTGAAGGTTACGAGAACAGTTTCTCTAATAATACATTTTGAAAGAAACATCTCCCGCATTAAGACAGATTATCAAAGAACAGTGTGGCAGCTAATCATTATAGACTTGTAAAGAACATGAAGTTTGCTCTCGACTTTGCAATATGAAGTCGTACTGCGCTAAGTGGTGGTGTTGCAGAGTTTCCACTCTAGAACTGGAAGGAATCCGGCATTATTACATATTTTTTGTGACCCGGGAATCTAATGACAATGTAAGGGCGACAAAGCTTCAAGGAATGAATTGGGAAGAAATATAAGCGTATATTCCGCTAAATGGAACAGAAATGAAATGATATCTTTTTAGTAACATGGAGGCGGAAATGTTGTAGGCCCGTGTGCTCAGATTTGGGTGCACGTTAAAGAACCCCAGGTGGTCAAAATTTCCGGAGCCCTCCACTACGGCGTCTCTCATAATCAATTGGTGGTTTTGGGACGTTAAACCCCACAAATCAATCAATCAATCAATCAATCAATCAATCTTTTTAGTAACATTTTGAGTCAGGCACTTCAACTCAGCAATAAAGCAGTAGTTTAAAAAGGTTTGACTGATTAGAAGCATGACATATTTATAACCAACGCACCTAATAAAATTCTTTACTTGAACACACCTAATACAAATCTTTCCTTGAGCCCCACTGTGGTGGTCTAATGGCTCGACTGCAACCCGCAGGTTGTGGGATCGACGCCCTGCTGCGGCGGCTGCATTTCCAATGGAGGCAGAAATATTGTAGGCCCGTGTGGTCTAATTTGGGTGCACGTTAAAGAACCCCAGGTGGTCGGAAATTTGGGAGCCCTGCACTATGGCGTCTCTTACAATCATTGCTGGTTTTGGGACGTTAGACCCCACATATCTACTATCAATGTGTTGCTCCGAAGTTTTTGAGAAACGTTGGAATGTGGACTTATTGGTAATGAATTTGAAAGCACTTTGTCACGCATTTATCTGAGCGATCCTACGTGCTTATCTGTCAGCCTGATTATTATGGTTTAGAAGCGGTCTGAATTCAAAAATAAACATGTAGCTCATAGCGCTCTGTCTTCTCCGTCTATCACTTTCTGTTTCCGTATTTCGCCTCACGCTACGAAAAAATCTTCCGAAGTCCTTCTCTATTCCTCGCGCACCCATGGCTCTACGCTATGGCATCTGTCTTGCGTAACAGTACGCTGGCGGCATATCCACATTACTCCTTGTGATTTTTTCCCCTCAGTGGTGCCTCAGTCACCTGCTGTCTGCCCATCCTTCATTTTGTTTTGGCTTCTGCCGTCGTTCGTGACACGGACGCATATTTGAAAACGTGATTTTGTACGTTGTGACGCTTATTGACGCCTGTGCGATTCTTGTGTTTGCTGGAAGCTTTAGTACGCCAGCTTGCGCGCAGTCTCGCGACATTTTGATCCCAACTTTTTTTTGCAATACTGGCCCCACCCCCGCCTCTGCTTACACACATAGGTGCCTTTGCCTGAAACTTCATCACAAAGATCGGTAGGCCAGCGCTCCAACATGCGTACACGATAAGGCTGTGGGCTGTGTGAACTATGCGCGATGAACTATTGTGCATGAACCATACAGAGCAAGGTAAAATGGACTTGTTCAAGCATTGGTTCGGGTAACCAGCCAAACCAGGCGATCCCACGTAACCAACGTGGCACCTCCCGAATTTTCTACGCGACGATTCGCTGAGTGGTCATTTTAGCATCAACTTATTTAGTCTTGAACAATACTCAAACATACTAAAACATTCATTTAAACTTGCACTTTTAGAAAAAAAAGGCCTGCTTATTCACCCCCTAAATACTAACCATATACTTGACACAAAAAGCACTGACCTCCTAGTAAGGGCCGGAATGTAGTAAAATACTGATTAGTGAACCTAGCTATTTAGCTAAGTACTTCGTGAATAGTACTGACTCAATAATTATTACATTACCAAATTTTCTCTGAACAAACGTTTTGATGTGCTTGTACATTTACTCGTCAAGATAATTTCATTACAGAGATTTATATTTTGAACAGTAGGCGAAGTGCAACTGTCCACGTATATTGATTAGTGGCCGCTAATAACTCCAGGCGTTTACCATAGAAAGTACGCATCTCCACAACATACATAGAGTCATGAACGAGTCACAGACTCGGACATACTCGCGAAAGCGCAAATAAACTCTCAGAAGTTATCCGGTATTTTACACTGCATGAGTCGTTTGAAGGCTATTTATACTCCTATTTTGGAATAACACACTATGTACAGTTTAGCAGGCATAGAATTAGGAAAAATAATAGACGTTTTCAATACATCATTGTGGCATTTTCTATATGTGTGTGTCATCACTTAGCATAAAATTTTCATTCCAAATTATTTGACAAAATTAAGATTGGTCTAAATTTTACTTACGGTCATGATACTGCAACATAAACGGTGGTGTTTGTGAGAGATCTAGCAACGTATAAGGCTTAGAAGCTAAAAGATTAAAAAAAATTATTTCTGGTTAGCAACAACGAAAGTTTCAACCTTTCTTAGCTGCTGGCTATTCTACACTCTCTTAGGTGTATTGTAATATTTGTGATATGGCTACGAAGAAGATAAAGTGGACCGAGAAAACTTGCTGTTCGCAGGTACCGGACCTGCAAACTTTGCCACATGTGACTTTCGGTGCATTCATTTACTTGGTGTGACGCTGCAGCTATTGATGCTTTGAGGTTATTCATGTGAACTGTTCCCAAATGACATTGTGTCACGCACTTCGGGTGAGGCCCCGCCGATCTAACATCGACGTGCGGCAGACTCGCAGGCTTCCACTTTACGCTTCGGCCTGCGACGCCTGCAAGGCCTCGAAGTGGCACATTTCGAATTTATTTGCGGGTTGGTCGACCCGTGCGGGGTTGCACGTGTGGTGATGTGTGGGCCTGACCGACGCACTCATAGAGCAGACACAGAGACTTTATGCAAAACGAACTAGCATTTAATTGAAACAAGGGCAAATGCAGGAGTTAGCAAAAATAACAGAGGAAGAAAACTGATACGCGATGAGAAAGAAAGGCTATAAAACAAACTATGCTCTATAAGAACACTACGAGAGGCACAAACAAAAGACAAATACGCGGAATGTTAACAAACTAATGGCATGAATCAAAGGAGATACAAGAAAAGTTACAAGAAAAAATATTATGGTAGCGCTTTCGAATTTTTACGTGCGACGCAGCGCACACAACTACAAATAAAAACAAAAGGCTGGTTATAATAATTTAACAGTTTAAAAAAAGTCACAATAAAAGTTCCGTACGGACCAGGCCAGCTCTTGGTGCACGTAGGGGAGTTGACGGGTGCCGCTGAAGGTCTCGCCGGCTTGGTAGACGACGAGGGTGCCCAGAATTGCAGCCGTCTTAATACGTTGCGCGGGTCACTCCATGCTCGCCACCTACGCGAGACTCGCGACACTGACGACCGCACTTGTTGCTGGCTGTACGTCAACTGCCCTTCCGATGCAGTTCAAACCTCCTCAGGGGAGTACACGTGCTCCCGTCTCATCTGGGAGTAACTTTCCCTGTTTAGATCGCCGGTTCCCCTTCCGGTACCGGTGCAGGGAAGACGAGCCGGCGCCACGCTGGGTCGTTAGTCACCGGATGTCGTCCCCCCAACACAAAAGCGCCCTTCCTTGGAAGATGGGGCCCGCGGATGCTCCGAAAATTGGAGTCATTTGTGACACATTGCAATGTGGGGATCTGACATTGCAGTGGTCTGTACGGGGCGCTCTAGCAGAATAATGAATCACACATGATAGAACGAACAGGGGGGACTCTTCTGAGCATTGGCTTTTGCTCGTTTTGGTTTATTGAACCACCGTACAGGCAGAAACGTGACACCCCTGTGGCGTATATGACATTCGGACTTATGTGCGAGAATGTAAACTCGCGTATTTGGAACTTACATTCTGTTAATTATTTATTTTAGTTTGCCCTCTTGTTTCAAACGTACGAAGTCAGTCTTGATCTTATGTCAATGAAAAGATGAATTAACCATGACCGATGCCAAAGAATGATAAACCGAACAGTTTGTGCCATTTGCTGCATTCATTTGTTGGATAACAAGGAACTTACCGATGACCCTTTTCTTGGCGGAAGAAGCGAAGTTAAACTCAAGAGCTTTACGTGATGCAGGCGAACTGTGGACTTATATTAACTCTGTGATGTCCTATCGATTCATGTTCACCTGTTTTGGGTTTATTAGACAATGAAAAGTGTACAGCATTGCCTTATTTGTAATGAAGTAGCGATTTGCGCTGCATCATTGTAACGGGTTTATTGCAGTAATTGCTGTGGGGCACGCTTCCGCTACCTTTGACCCAGTGTAATTGTTAATGGTGGTCAAGCTGAACATATATGACTCGTAATAGCGATTAGACATACAGAAACAGGGATTTTAAGAGCTTCTCCGCATTTCCTTTTTTTTTGTCTTTTGTGTTTCTGCGTTGTCACAATGAAGACCTCAGTTTTATGTAAAAAGTAAATCTTGTGTACTTCTACCAGAATCCTTACATCCTGAGCTGTCTGAAGTGATGCATTCATACCAATTAGCTTGGGCTAGCTGGTAATGCATAATTAAAAGCAATATAGGATGGAACTTCTAGCACAAAATACAAAAAGACACGTTAGCCACTAGCGCTCTCTACCATAGATATATAGCGCCGAACTTCTTGCACAAAAGAAAGGGAGACACGGCAGGTACGAACGCTAACTTCCAACGCATAGCGCGGAACGTCTTGAACTATAGACAAAGGGACACAACAGACGCAGTAGCTTGCTTCGTTCTACCTTCCTTGGAAATAAGCTCTTATTCTTGTCGTGCCTTTGTTGTCTTTGGTTCAAGAAGTTCCAAGCTACAAGATCGTAATTATTTTTAGTCAATTCAGGATGATAGAACAATGCCAGAATGCCAGAAGTAAAGAAGGGACAGTGACACCAGGGCTGGTACCAGCAGTAACTTCAGTAATACATATGCACATATTTGAAAGTTTGGCCTATAACCACATGAATACAAGCCAATGACGCCTGCAGAAGAGAAGAATCTCATGATTAAAGGTGTACCAATAAGAACAATTGTACCAAGTATTAAAACTATTCAAGAGAAGGTAGTAAAACCATTCAAGAAAGAAATTTCTCCGTCATGACGGCAGTAAACGACGCGCTTACTCATCTACAGTCTTTTAATGTCTCTAAAATGTCTCTAAAAAGATTACTTATGTCTCTAAAAAATTACTATTGCACGCACCGTCTACGAAGGTGGGGTGAAGCGAACGCCAGCTTCAGTGAAAGGAAGTGGGTACAGTTCTTGATACAAGCGAGATACATGGACACGGCTAGTGTGACCGGTTCGGAACACCACGGCTTCTCTTGAGGCCACACCTCCTGAGGCCTCTTAACGGATAACCAACGCGCGGTGGGATTGGTCTGCTGCCATTGTTTATCATAAAGGCGGTCCGTGGGAGAAAGAAAGAGCTAATTTGTAGCAGTTGCGATCCGGTCTCCTGGAGTGCGCCCCAGATGCCATGCGGGCATGTTGCGTAACTGCTTGCAACGGCTTGCTCCACTGTGGCGTGCTGTGGCGCAACTTCCTCGTATAGACCGAGCATAGCCCATTCAACGTCTCCCTTTGGAATCTCGCATCCACTGCACAGCCGTTGTATGAGATCGCCCAACAGCTTTCTTTCGGTTTTGGTCGCCAAGAAAAAAAAAAGGCAATGTCCCCATATAAGTTGTACTAGATAATTGGTCCTAAAGTGTTCGCAGTATTGTTTGTAAAATAAGCCGTGAAAGGTCTGTTTTGCCGTATATAGAAATTGCTGCATCCGATGCAGGCGAATTGCCAAGTCCCGTGTACTGTGTGCTGTGAGTGCACGTTAAAGAACACCAGATGATCGATGTTTACGGAGTGCTCTATTACAGTGGGCTCTTATAGCAATGTCGTGGTCTTGGGACATTAAGGCTCTTTAATACTACTATTACTACTGCTGCCACAGCTGCTACAAATAATAATAATAATAATAATAATAATAATAATAATAATAATAATAATAATAATAATAATAATAATAATAATAATATTAATAATAATAATAATAATAATAACAATAATATTAATAATAATAATAATAATAATAATAACAATAATAATAATAATAATAATAATAATAATAATAATAATAATTAATAATAATGTATTATCGTTATTATTGTTGCTAGTGTTTTTGTTTTACGCTCTTTTTGAATACATAGCAGTTTACCACACTGTGATGGTCAAGTGCTTGTGCTTCTTGTCTGCTGACTAGAAGTGGTCGGGGTCAAATACCAGGTGGATGAAAAAATGATATGCTAGAGACACGTGCACTATGACTTAGGGACAGGTTCAAGCTCCCCAGGCCTAACACATTTCTTGAGCCCTGAATAGTGAAAATCATCATAACCGCATTGTAGTTTCTTAATGTAAAACTGCAATAGTTACTATAAACTCCAGCAAATACAATGATTACTGGTATAAAATTCAATATATTTCTGAGTTAGGATTTCTTAGAAATTCTCTTTTATCGTATCTTTATGAAGCCTTTGGCTACAACGCCTACAAGTGTTTGTTATCTGCATATGCAACAACAAATAAACATGTTTATTTGATCTGATTAGCAGCACCCCCATAACAGTATTACGAAGAAAACAAGCCAGGTTCCTTAAACATGCGGACGCCGGGCACGTATACCTCTCATTCCATTTCACGCAAGTAACAAAACCTATTTCAGGGGCAACATCTTGCACGGGTTGTTGCTTTTTCAAACATATCTCGAAAGAATATGTGAAGAAAACAGAATATGAAGAGGAGCGAAAGATAGACGGATGTCTGGGCATTCGATATGCGTGTGCTTTCAAGGCCGGCGCCATCGGCAAGGCACAAGGCGTCTGTTTGTCGTGAGGCACTCCGAGAGAGCGAAACGGAAAGGAGAGTGCTCCGAGGATGCGGGGGGAAGAGGAACCGGTTTTAGATCGCGCCTCCTTCCTCATTGGCGCGATAACATTCACCGTCGAAGTGACGTGACTCTGCGTCAGTAGAAAGAAAACACGGCAGCCGGCCACAGTGCTAGTCGGCTGCGGAAACCTCCAACCACCTTCACACCTCCCATGAACAAACCTGGCGTTCGCAACAGGTAAGCGACAAGACAGGTGAGCTGCACAGTCACCCTTTGTGTATCAGCTGGAAAGCCCAGTGCAACTCGTTCTCTAGCAATTGAACTTGCTTGCCCCTGTCTGTGCACTATACTTACTGCAGCATACATTCCTCAGCTGATTACGGCTACGATAAACCTGTTTTCCTTCTTAGTAAAACAGCGCAGTGCAAAAGTTTGCAAGAAGGCTTGGACAAAGAAAAAGTTCCTGCGTCTGGTAGCGATCATTGGCACAGATTAAACAGCAAACCAAAGCATTTGTGATACCAAGGGTGTTATGGGAAGCGCATTACCGTTGACTGCATCTCGGCAGACCGTAAACGTCGCCGCAGATTTGCCATGTACTTTCAAAATATGTCGTTCGACCATGTCTCACGATCTGGAATCTCTAGGGTGGGGCAAGAACGCAGAGCTGTAGACGTGTGCGCAAAGCGCTTCTTCGCATATATCTGGTTGTCAGCCGGGCATTTACTTACAAATACTCGCGTTTGTAGTACACTTAGGAAGAGATGCTTCGCCAGCCATGCTTTGTACGAAATAGCGGTGTTTTATAGATTGGTTAGGTGTCTTCTCAATGAGCAGCGTTTGGTGTGGCCTTGTTTGTTGCGGTAACGCATAGATGGCGTCGTTGGCTTGTAGAGGTGTCATCATTTGCTCGTTACAAATTGAAGTACCACGCTATGGCTGGAATTTGCTGGCTGGAAATGCTCCCGTTTAGGTTACTGTAGATTTTATGCTTCGAGAGCTGTGGTTCGGTGAAAAATAGGTCTGTTTTTTAGATAACCTCTTGATTAGCAGCGCACAAGGCTTAACGTGCGGGTCTTCCATGTTTGCTGCAGTCTCGTAGACACTGCGCCTATACCGTTATATCGCTTTTCGTTTGAACTCTCGTTACAAATTGCGTAACGACATGTTAACGGAGAGCTATCTCCTTCCCCGTGGTAAGCCCACGTGAAATGTGGCCGCAGAGACTTGAGTTAGTGCTTGTACATATGTCTAGATGATGAGATATGTGTTTGTATAATAATTTCAATTTCTGCCGCTGCACTGTAGAAAATTTTGTGCATCTCCGTGCGGCCTGCAGTGTCTACGCGTGAGCATTACAAACATGTCGATATAATGTGATGCTTCTTGCTCAATCCTAAATTGTACTCCGCTGCTCAACACAGGTCTTTTGACATAAACTGGACATGCTTGTGACGGACGGGCATACGTTAGAACAAGTACCGAAAGAGTTGCGCCTAAAGCACAGTGGACTCAGTTCACAAGAGCGCTGCACCACTGGTGAGTCGTTTTGACCAAAATTACCGCCATCACAGTTGTCGCACTTTTTTCGTGGGCAGAATTTCCATCGTGGGCAGTTTTTGTGAAAACGCGTTTTGGAATAAACACAAAATCTTCGTTTAAAAATGGGTAGACCTTTTGAAAAGGCCCTGGATCATAATCTTTGTGATGCTGTTATATTCACATGTAATCGAAGGATACCGATTAATGACCACAGGACAGGCGCCAAGTGGGAGCCCTGAAATTGAATACTCAGGCGAGCAAAGCTGCTTCGCTCTTTGTCATGCTGTGACTTACATCGGTCGCGTTATTATCAGCACTATGATTTGTCCACTCCATAGAAATTTGCACATACAGATAATGAAGCATTTTTTGTCAAATAGAGAGGTATCCACAGTTCCCATGACAGCATTGTGTCAAGTCAAAGTAGGTAGTTAGTACGTGTTGTTCGAAATCAACATTTATGTGTTTACTCTCGCTATCTAACACAACCAGTCAGATAGCACAATCTTTCCATGTTGCGTTATACTAAAAGATGTGTGTAGGCCTTTGAGACGATTCCATTAAATGAGTAATTAGTTTACTGTTTCCAGTTAATTCTACTAGTTTGGTGCGTCAATATAGTACCGGTTGAGACACTTTCGTCAAAAAATGTGTAAATATTTTTACCTAATTGAGTACGGATGTGCTAGTTATTGAGCTCTGGCTTCCTGAAAAAACAGCGCACAAAAAGAGACAACAACACACTAGAAGAAAGAAATGATTTATTTTTATTCACAAGAGCAGCAACGCAAATATAGATCTGTATTGCAATGAAAATCAAGGTTAAAGAAAGCTTTCGCAGAGTTACCTTCCTCAAGAAGGCACTAAAACGCGGGAATGTTTGTTCTCTATGGTAACAACCTTACATTTTTGCTATTGTATTTTATCAAATTATTGCGCTACTATTAGTATCTTCTCAGTGCATTTCAACGTTTCTTAACGTTTCCCTGCCCATTTCGATGCATTGCCCGCCATTCTTTGTCATTTGTCCATGAGCAATTCACTCTCTGCCGTTGGCGTGTACCAAGAGTAGACCATGACGGACTGCATTATGTAAATACGTTAAAAAAACTTTTCTTGCCTTTTTGCTGTTTTCCACCTGTTCATCCACTTTACTCCTGAAATGTTTTGGTTTCGTTGTATGTTGCACGGTCCTTAACTTCCACCAGTGTTTAATTACCTAGAAGTTTCCACTGCCATTCCTGGCAGTGCTTCAGAGTATATAGTTTTATAGATTGTGAATCGGGGACCTGCAGTGGTAGATGGCCTGTAATGATTAGGGAATGTATGCGTCAGAGATTTAGCCTAGCCATCTTCTTTAATGATGTTTCCTTGGCCGGCTGTTTCATAAATAATCGACTTACCCATGCATACCTTCGTTGTGACTCCAGAGGTGGGCTACCATTTGTCCTGTTCTAGGAACAGGAGAAAAAGGGAAATACCCCTTTATTGAAAGGTAGAAAATGAAGCAGGTGCATGTAGATCCCTAACCTAGTACTGGTCACTCAAAAGGCAGGCTGCACTGATAGGTAGGAGTGGGTCCTTAGGTGTGCTATGGAACTCTAATGGGGACCCAAAGACTTGACCGAAATCCACAGTTGACAGAACAAAAAAGTAAATGTTTAATTATGGCAGTTATGCACATTGTATATTGCCACGCGCTAGTTTATTAGAGGCTGAGAAGCAAGAAGTTGGTGGCTGCTGTGGCTGAAATTAAACAGCTGTTATCTACATCTCGATCCCTTTGTCGTTTCCTATCGCGACAATGTGATGTCTGGTTGTCTCACTACGATTTTCAGGTGCTGCAGCAATAAGCATGGTTTTAAGCACGTAGAATGTGTCCTCAGTAAGGCATCTCGTGACCAGCCGTTGTAAGCTTACACTGACTAAAGAGCATGGCTTGTGTACTTGCACCTTCAGCACACTGTTCATGAATTACACGTTTTTATTTCTCTGTCACATATGCATGTTTAGACGTTTTATTTTAAAAATGAATGAACCAGTATGATATGCTTTCAGGTCCACCACTCGGGTTTATGCAACGTAAATTCTTTGCGCTCCTGTTACTCTTCTCTTAGTACATTTTCACCCATTTTCTATTGCTCCAATAATAAAAAAAGAGTTCAGAGTTTCGTAGGCACACTATTAAGAGAAACCCTTGCAATGAGAAGCTGGGATTTTTCACGACTTCTGTGTTATGTGCAGATGACGCAGTCAGTGGCGAGCCGGTGCAAATTCTTCGGATAGAGGCGGCGAGACCATCGTGTTTGATGAACGTGCACTCGAAAGCATCCTCCTCGCTGACCACGTGAAAGACCGTTCAGTGGTGGTTATATCCATTGCTGGTGCATACCGACAGGGGAAATCTTTCCTGCTCAATTTTTTACTGACTCACCTCAGGCACAATGGACGATCCAAATGGATCGAAGAAACGGATACCCCACTCAGAGGCTTCCAGTGGCGGCCGGGCAGTACTCGCGAGACAGCGGGCATTCTACTTTGGAACGAAGTCTTTTTGGTGGGAGTTTTACTTTGTAGCAATGATCCATGCACTGAATATTTACACTTGCTTTTCCAGATGACCAACTCAGACTGGAGAGAAGGTAGGCGGTTTTACTGATGGACACTCAAGGAACCTTCGATTGCGAGTCGACAATGAAAGAGAGCACCGTGATATTCTCTCTCTCCTTGATGGCCAGCTCTGTGCAAATTTACAACATAATGAGCAACATCAAAGAGAATGACCTTCAACACCTTCAGTTTTTTGCTGAGTACGGCCGACTTGCGCAAGAGGTACTTACAATGGAAGTTTAGCTCGATATGTTAAGTTTACACTGACAGCCCCGCGTTGTTCCAGGACAACAAAACACAGGCCTTCCAAAAGCTTCTGTTTTTGGTGAGGGACTGGAACTGGGCGCATGAGTTCGAGTGTGGTTTCCAAGGGGGCCGATCACTCATGACGAGTCGTCTAAAGACAACAAGTGGTCAAGCGGCAGAGCTGAAGACGTTGCGACAGATATCTTGTCTTCCTTTTCGGACCTTGACTGTTTCCTCATGCCCCACCCCGGAAAGAAGGTAAAACTTTTACCTCGGGATTTGATGTTATAACTATTGCCCATTGGTGTCGATAGTCTGATATTGTCCCTAAATGTTACCTTGTTCACCGCTATGCGCGAGAGAAGCTTTGTGCAGCCCGAACGTGAAATTTTCTTCATGATTTCCGACTATACGGCGATTGAAGTTAGAATAGCGTATCTACGTACTTTTTGAAAAGCACTTAGGTGTGCACTGATAAAAAAATTGAGATGTTCTCATAGTACTGCGAGTACACAAAATAGATTGAAAAAAATTACGAAATATCATTCAGTGTTCTAACTAATATATAATATTATTCCTGAAGCAAAGAACATTTGCGGAAGAACATTCGCTATAAGTAATACACTTATTTGTGAATTCATTGTAGTGGGTTTCCGTAACCTGTATTTGACAGCACCGCATTATATCAAGTAGAAGTAATCGACACGTGTCATGATTATTCTTTTCTAAACTTATAGAAAAAAAACTAATTTTAGTGCTACCGTGCATGTGCTCAGTATAAATGAATTTCTGTGTAATAACGAAGATGTAACGTGTAAACTTCTTAACTAATTCACTTTCTTGCAGGTAGCAATGGATAAGTCGTTCGATGGTCGTCTTGCAGACACCGAGGAAGAATTTCGAAAGAAGCTTCCGGAACTTGTTCTTTCTATTTTGGCACCAGAAAATTTGTTGGTCAAAAAGATTAATGGGCGAAAAATATCGTGCCAGGACTTTGTGACCTTCTTTAAGGTAAATATATAAACTGCCCATGAAACAGTTATATCAGTAATACGCGAAATAGGGTACTAATGAAGGCTTGATTTCTTTTAGACGCTATCTAATAAAGCCAAACAACATTGAATCCATGAAAGGCGTCATGGACATGGCATGTGAATTTCGACTGCTTGAATGACAAGTACCTAAAAAGGGTCAAAGGTCGTTTTACCGCACAAGGAGATTGAACTTAGTAACTTCAAAAAATGCATCTGTAGTCCAAGCTTCACTAGATAACTGCAAACGACAGTACCACATTTGCTGTCATGGCCAAGAGCGGCGCTGGTCAACACTCTCAAGAACGCAGACACATAACACGCAACAAAGCAGATAGAAAGCAACCATTGCTGCAGCTCACTGGATAAAACGCCTGTCTTCTTGAAGATGATTTTTCTTGAACTCTGATTCTTTTTTTTTCAAATATGTAATACGTATTATGCGATGCTTACAAAATAAAAAAATTCCCTATACTTTCCTTAGTTTTATTGTCACTTGGTTTGATTTGCGTACGGCACTAATCACACTTGCTTTCGCAGGCTCATGTGGATGTCTTCAAAGGAGGTCATTTGCCGAATCCAACATCCATGCTGACGGTGAGCCACTTTAGGTATTGTTCACAAATAATTCAAAAGCACCACACCATTTCAGGCGACTGCAAATGCACTGAACATGGCGGCCAAACTCAAAGCCTCAACTCATTACATGTCTGGGATGACAAGTGTAAGTGAATGTTTCGTATGAAACTATGCAAGGTGATCTAAGCCTATTTTTCGTTTACGCAGAGACCTCTCAGAGACCTGAATGCACTGGGCTTCCTTCATCGTGAAATGCTGACCAGGGCCAAGAAGGTGTTCGATGAGTTCCCGAAGGTCGGTGGTGAAGCGATGTCGTTAACATACAAGGATGATCTCATAAAGGCAAGATCTTTGATATGGCATTTTATGTATTTTCCTAAATGATCGGCATGTGCAATTAGAGAAAGCTTGCTTGCTAACTAAAAGCAATGACCGAGAGACTATGAAATAATACTAAAAGGAAAAGTACCACGATTAGGTATGGTACATCTCTCCCAAATATCTGTCCAAACCTTAGGTGAACAAAAATTGTGTAGTTCACTAAGACTCACGCATGAAATTTATTTCGTACTTCAGGCACAGTTCACTCAGACTCAAACTCATGGCCCGGTCTGAGTTTCAGTGAGTCCAAGTGAGTCAACTCTAGAGCTCATCAGCCTAGACGTAGCTTGGGCCACCTAGCTGTTAATGCTCTTTAACACCGACATCTCGCGTAATCGGTGCTCGTTTTTGGTGACTTTTAGGTAGTACTTTTGAAAGACGAGTCATAATTTGTTGCAAACGAGTAAGAATATTTTTTCTTGGGATGAGGACAACATGACATATATTTATCGAGAACCTCCCTAGAAAATGGGGTACAGTATTAGCGCAATATTGGAAAAAAAGACCGATTCTACAAAAGAAGTACGAGGGAGCAGAAAGGTCACACGCTAAAGCGGCTCCCTCCTGCTTCTTTTCTAAAATCTGTCTTTCTAAGTTTCCGCTTTTACTCCATTGATGTTAACCAACTCGTCCGACAGGGATTGTCTATGGTGTACCCCTGTCTTGTGGACTTGAGTGCGTAGGTCAGTCAGGCAGGTGTCTTATTGTAAGACTTCAGGAAGATTGCCAGAAAGTAAGAAGTGCAGGACGGGATGGTTTTCGGCCACTCATTGTTCCGAACGTGGGTGCCAGCCATTGTTCGAAAAGACAAGGGTTATCGCGTCCCACCCTAACGAAGGCACCAGACTAGTAATCGAAGCTGCAGAAATTGCTCGAGGCACCTGCATTAGCAAACCATCAATAGCGTTATCTGAAAAAGAATTGGCGTTTTTAAATTTGGCACTTGATGGTCCGAGGTGAGCACGTGGTTTCTTGGAGTCTCTTTTGACTTTTGTTTTTGTGTTTTGTAAGCAAGTGATCTTATTGTCTTTTTCGTAACATATATATGTGCATCACAGTAGTAATAAATTTAGTTAAAAGTCTGCGCTCGTGCTCGTCTTTTGTGTTACTTGTCGGAAGTTTTTGCACTGAGAAGTTCAATAATCGTCCGACAAGTTCCATTCTTTAGAGGAGTTGGTGGCGGGGCAGGGGTGGGGGGGGGTGTGAATTCAAGACATCCTCTTTATAATTCACGCCTCTGATCAGTAAATATTGAAACGGTCTATGAACAATTATTTTATTGAATACGTGTGAGTAGAAGCAAAAATAAAACTTGATATAAGTAAGACTGATACTAATGCTGAAGATGAGTAGATCGGACAAGAGGCTGGCAAAAGCAGGTTGAACTCGCTCACACTCGCTCAAGAAAAATATCTCACGCCTGGTGCTCACTCGTACTCACATTCATCTTAACTTTCCTTAGTCGGACTCGCTCGGACTCACAGTCATATAAATTTCCTTGAATCAGACTCACTCGGATCAAAACTCACCAAAATTTCACTCATGCTTACGCACTCGTGAGTCCACTCATGAGTTAGATGACATTTGAAAGCTGCTTTGGTCTCCGTAGATCAGTATTTCTGCCAGCATTTGCGGTTTTCCAGTTATTAGCTGAGACATTCAGTGTACCATCTCCTCAGAGTGGACCGACGCTGAGCACTTCTCCACCTTTTTTTTGTCTCCCAGAAGCGTGTTTGATTTCAAAATGGTTCTCCATGTATTCCCAATAAGTCACCGCTACATATCTTTTAGCCCGAAACGTAACATAAATTTCGATTTTGTGAATCATGGTCAGAAGTTCCTAAAAAGGGATGTTCGAATATGTGGCTGTTTAAGCCGTAGATCTTGTGATGCAGTTACTTTACTAAAGACTAATAATACTATTTTGCGACATACACGTGTGTCTACTGCTTTCTGTGTAAAGCTGTTAGCTTGCAGCACAACATGCTACGGTAAAGTTAAAGTGCGCTTGCTCTTCTTTATCCTCGAATGAATGCTAATTAATCTCCTCGAGTAGACATCCAGTTTGATGAAAATCCACATTATAGAATATAAACTTTATAGAAATTGACACTGTAAATTATTACCGCTGTGTTAAAAGGAAGCAGAACTCATGGAGGTCACACATGCACAATTTGCAAGCATGCATGGCGATGACCTAGAGGTTAAAGTAGACGCCTAGAAGAGTTGTTGGGGCACACTTGAAATAGTTATGCATAATGACGCCTCTTCATGAATCATCATTAAAATGCCTCATGATGAGGCGTCCAAATATTGACATTATTTCTTTAAATAATTCAGAAACATCGGCATTGCTCTATTTGTTACCAATGCAGCTTTGCGATCCTTTCTGATGAACTGCATAAACGGTTCTTTTAGACTTGCTGACGTGTGGCATCACCTACTTCAACCAATAAAATTGTAACAAAATTTGTTCTGGTTGTACTATTTTGTATAATTTTATATTCTTGCTCTCGTCGCATTAAATAATACCTATATGTCATCATTGACTCTTTTCTCTTCCCTTACTATTTTTAAGCCACTGTTATTTTTTTTATTTCAAAGAAACTAGGCAATTGTTGCGAGGATGCTTTTGTTGTAGTTTCGATTTGCACTCGGTTTGGTTGTTTAATGAGAAGTACACAAGCATCACTGGGTATGTAAGTACCCCACAAAACCTCCCAATTCGTTTGTTATTTTTGCAGGAGCTTGAAGGACAGCTCTCTCACTTCTGTGAGAGAGCAGAAGAGTTCATCAGAATTGAGAGGGAAGAAGAAGAGAAAAGAGAGACGGAAAGACAGGAAGAGAGAAAAAAGGAGTGGGAGAGGGAAAGGGAACGAACTGCTCAGAAAGCGAAGGCGGAAGCACGAGAAAAAGAAATAGAGAGAGACAGGAAGGAATTTAAAGATAGGGAAACGATTTTACTGAGACAGGTGCTGGCAAGAGAGGCAAGTCTGAAGAAGCTGAAAGAAGAGGCTGATCGAGAAAGAAAACAAGAAATAGAAAAGCGAGCCAAACTGCGGAGTGAAATGGAGAGAAAGCGCATGAAGATAGGAGAGTTGGAGAAGGGTATCGGGAACACTAACACCGAGATAAAGGAAGCAGCCATCCAACTTGGGTTTCAAACGGCGAACCTTGCAGCAGGAATCATCATGCTATTGCCCGGTGGAGTCCTGCCTGGGAGTATCTTTCTAGCCGGCCAATTCGCTTTTCAGCTCAGCTTTAATGCAATACGCGCACGTAGAAAGGCACGAGAGAGGAGTATAGAAGAAATTCTGCGTCGTTTTTCCCCAGAGTTTCTTATAACTCCTTGACTGAGGAACAAAAGTCCCTGCTTTATGCGATTTTTTATGGATAGCTTCATACCTGATATCAGCAGCTTGCCACGTGAATGGGCACAAAAATGCAACGACGCTAATGACTCGATAAGGGACTAATGCATTTTGCAGCAGGGTCTCTGTTTGAAATTGGGCAAACATGCGTGTGAGCAAGGAACAATTAGTGACGTATTCAAGTTTTTCTTTCTAGAGCCTTTAATTGCTTAGAACACGCATTTTGACGTGATGCAATGCATGTTTATAATTATGTAAGCATTATCCGAAGCCCCCATGTCAAGGTAGCTTTTTTTATATTTTTCCATTTTTATAACAGTCTTTTCCTTGCTGATACAGAACTGTGCCGTTGACTGTCTTACGCAAAAGGGTGTCTGAAAAGGGCTGGTATGTTATATGAGACAACAAGGAATAGAACACCAGTACTGTTCAATACTGGTAAAATCACTGTATTCCTATTTTATGACGCCTTAAAATGCTTTTCATGACAATAACCTTTGCATGTTGTAGGAATGTCACAGAAATTGACAAGATACAAGACCATGTAATATTTTATGATACCTGCACTCAAGACTGGGAAATAACATTTTTTTTCTTTTTCGAGAAATGCGTTTCTCTGTACACATGCGCGCCTGTGAAAAGTCATTAAGAGCGAAGTGTTTATTTGAAGGTCCTTATTTTGTTTCTTTGAGAATTACTGCGAAAACCTTCAGCAAGTACACCTTCCTTTTCGTTGTGCGGTATTCTTTTATATTTAATAATAATATCACTACTATTATTTGGTACTATTTATCTGGTTCGCTTAAAGAGAAAGCGTAGCCAGTGCCGTTATGAATACCAACCATCCCAGTTTTCTCTTTCAATAAAAAAGCATCTGTTTACTATCCCTTTTTAGTATCAATGCGTGAATGTGTGCACATGTTTTTTTGGTGGTGGAACAAATTTCTTGTTTGACCTCGGTGTGCGTATGTTTTTTTTGTTTTTTAAAGGCTACGTGAAGTATTTATGTGATTACTTGAACTGCCACAGGTCAATCTGGTTTTCTTTCCTAATGTCTTCATCCCTACGACCACGTTTCTTTTTTTTTCAAATGTTTCCACAAGTAACCTTGTTCATTATTTCTGACTGTGATTGCTTGCCGTTTTTACTGTTCCGTTAGTTCATGCGATGTGTATACGGCGTACTTCTGTTCGACCACTCTGCTGCTGGTATGAGGCGGCCATGTTCCTCTCTACCTGCTCAATACAGCTTTTTTACCTGAACTTCGTTGCAACCTTTTGCAAGTAAACTCAATTCTATGTAATAAACTTTTAATAAGTTCAAAATCATTGTGTAATCCTGCTTTTTATGATAGATTAGCGTACACTCGTAATCAGGTCATGCTGAAATTCCGACTGCATCCAGGAAATCATCCGAAAAAAGCGTGGTTTATGTCGAGCAAGAATAAGTTAAACCGAGCTAAGAGTGATACGCTGCAAGCCATATCTATATGTAGCGAAGTATACCAAATGGGTGCGAGAGGGAAGTGATGGTGAAAAATTGATGTGATGATAAGCGAGCGAGAAATGGATACGTTAACTTTCGGAAGAGGCAACAAGACGCCACTGCATCGCAAAAGAGTATTTCGTTTCCTTCTCTTGTGGCCGAGAAAGCTGCACCTTTGTAACTTTGCAGCTGAGGAGGCTACACACTTGTGCCCGTAAAAGCCAGCTTCGCAAAAGGGCAGTGAGATCCTTGCTCCGCACTTTCTACAACTTTAACGTTCAGTGAAACATGAGTTGTTGTTTTTTGTAACAATTGAAATGCGTACAAAGCTCTTGCTTTCTTCGTAATTTCAGTTGACAAAATTTAAAGCTTAACACTTCCTACAGTGCTCTTGCGCGTTTTATAAACTTCCATTTTCTTTTGAGCTAGCGCAGGTGGAGCATACGGGTAAGTTTGTGCAGATTACCCTAAAAGAGCATATTAAGATGTGCCTTCACAGGCGTCTATATTGGAATGTGTGTAAAGTGCACTACAATAACGCGAGTCAAAAAGAGGAGTATACTGTCCATGATTCACGCTGTTGATGCGCTTCAGAGTAAGGAAAAAAAAACAGAAACGACAAAGAGTGACTTGTGAACTAAGTACTTGATATGCATTGGAACCAGCGTTATGTACGAAAAAAAAAGGGGGGGAGGGGTGGCGAATTGAGTGTTAGAGAACAATAATATCAAAAACTAAGAAAGAAAACGCATCACTATGTGTCGTCTCTAGTTTTTGTGTTTTTTTTCTTAACCTGCAGTCTATCACAAGCATGGACACGTAACATCAAGCCTTCATTCCCACCGTATTAGGAGCACAGTGCTTCATACAAACGAAGGGGTGGGGTCAAGGTTAGTGAAACCGGTCTGCAAATCCTTGGTGTCTCAGACGCCCGCTTCTGAAACACCTTAACGCTAAACCAGTGCACTGTGGGATGGTAGAGCAGCCATTGTTTATCATAAGGGCGGTCCATGAGAGAATGGGAAAGAGCTGTTTTGTACCAGCCGGCCTCCCGCAGCGCCTGGCGCCTGCATAATGCGCCCGAGATGGCGATCAGGCCTGTTGCGTAAGGGCATGAAACAGCGTTCATCTTACTTCCTCGTACAGACCAAGCGCGTTCCGTTCGCCTTCTTCCGTTGGCAGCAGGCCTTCGACGGATCGTCGTAGTGCGAGATCGCGGCCAGCGACATTCCTTGGGCTTTCGTTGCAAAAGGAACGTCGAACTACGTGTGTTAGTGGCTCTGCTTAGTTTGTCCCGAGATTTTCACGGTATAAAAAAATGTCGAAAAAAATTGTTAGATCCCACGTACAGGGGGAATAGATGATATGCTAAGGAAGAATAAGCAGAGTCAATTGAAAAGTCACTTTATAACCAGCACAACGTAATGAAGCGGACGTAAATTATGCCATGTATGACTTACATGTCATGATTGTCATGTTTTGTGCTAGAATTTGCGCTCGCGTTCGTTCACCTTGCGTAATACCAAATTTAGTATATGCGATGCTAGCGAAATGGGCACAAGCGCGCTATGAGTGTAGCATGTATTCATGTTTTACATGACATGCATGTCATGTTTATCACGTTTGCACCAGTCATATGCCTTCGTCGCTCATTCAATTCCTGTAATACCGAATTTGGTATATGTGAGGCTAGCGAAACGACTGCGAGCACGCTAGGAGCGTAGCATGTAGTCATGATTTACATGACGCGCCTACCATGATTAGCATGTTTGGACGTGTAATTTACCTTCGTCATCCATTCACGTCACGTAATACCAAATTTGGTATATGTGAAGCTTGTGAAACGGCCCCCGAGCACGCTATGAGCGTGGTATATATGATCATGTTGTTACATGACACGCATCCTATTTCCACCAGTCCTGAACCTCCATCATTCATTCACGTCACGTAATACCAAATTTGGTATACATTAAACTAGCCAAATGGCCGCAAGTGCTTCATGGGCGTGATATGTTGTCACGTTATCACTTGACATGCATGTCATGATTATCGTGTTTGCACCAGTCATATACCTTAGTCATCCATTCACGTCCCGTAACACCAAACTCGGTATTTTTGAAGCTATCGAAACGGCCATCAGCGCATCATGAGCGTGGCATGTAGTCATGTTCTTACATGACGCGAATGTCATGACTATCATGTCTTGACCAGTCGTATACATTCGCCATTCATTCAGGTCACGTAACATGAAATGTGGTATAAGTGAAGCTAGCGAAACGACCGCGAGTGCATTGAGAATGTAGCATGTATTCAGGTTCTTACATGACGAGCATGTCATGATTTCCACGTTAGGGCCTCTCTCCTATGTTCGCGTGCAGTCATGTCATACCATACCAGTTTTGCATAATGTCATGTGAACGCAACAACCGCAACAGCAGCAGGACTATGCGTGGTAAATCATGACATTTATGACATGTCGTAATTTTCATGCTTTGACTAGTCATTTATGGTGGTCATACAGTCTTGTTATGCCATACCAATTTTGGTATTGATGCAAATATTTGAACGGCCTGCAGAGCTAGAAGTCGTAGGCGTAGAGAGAAACGCTCAATGTCGCCGAAGTTCGCTAAAAAATGCTTCACAGTTTAAAAGCTGCGAATGTACTTCGTCACATGCGTTTAAAAAATGGGAGATGATTAGGCTCCAATCAATAGTTTTGAAGAAACCCAATGTTTCGAAACCAACTTGGTTCCTTCCTCAGGAGTGAATGCTGAGACTACGTAGCAGCAGCGTCTTTAAAGCACTCGTGCGGCAAATAATGACCCCCCCTCCCCCCTCTCTCTCTCGTTTTGCCGTGGAGCGTAGCCCATGTGTATACATACACTGGTGGAAGGGTTTTGAGAGAGCGGTTGATGTAATTGGCTGTACAGTACGGCCCATAACATAAGGTTCCGAGAAAGCGATCGATGTTATGCTCTATTACAGCCCATAACATCAACCGCTCTCTGGGAACTCTTCCCCCAGTGTATACACACGGACTGCGCTTCACGGCAAAACGAGAGAGATGGGGGAGGTCATTATTCGGACTCTGAGGCCGCGGGATCGAATGACAGACGCTGCTGCCGCATTTGGAAAGACGCATTATGTTTGTGACTTGTGTAAACAGCAGGCATCCTTGGGTGCTTCTTAAGTAACCTCACGCGACCGAAATCAGCGGAGCTTTCCGCTACTGCGTCGCTCAAATTTATATCACGGTCCTTCATGTAAAACCCCCAGAGTATTACAAAGCGCAAAGCGAGATACAGGTTTGCGAAAATGCCGACGTCTGCCAGCGCTGCCATTCCGTTATCGGAAGATAACGAAACTATTGTCCAGAAGAACTTGGGCGACTCTGTATTTGCTTTGCATATCGGAGCAGTGCGAAACTTGGGGAAAAGTAAATAAAGTAAACATTATGCAGCCCCTTTCTGCGCCGGCGCAGTATGTGCGCTCGAGGCCGGCGGCATCAGCAATGCGCGCGCCTCGCCGGCAGAGCAGGAAACGGAAAGGAGGTGCATTCCGAGAAAAGAAAGGCGGCATGAGCGAGATTTTGTTCCCACTCACTCGCAAGATGGCGCCGTTACCCTCACCGTCTGAGTGGCGAAGATATCGCGACAGTTGGGATTCGCTCGCAGGATTTCAAGCTGGACGGTTGTGCCCTCGCGATCTCCGACTTCAGCGTAGCTCCCGCCGACTGGTTCGCCCTCCGCGGTCTCCTGATGCCGTGTAGCTCTCGCATTGTGGCACCCCGCCCTTGGACTGCTTCGACCGGATCCCCACTTTCCTATCTCCTTCTTTTTCCTCTCGTTGGCTGTCTTCTTCTGCTTCTACTTTCCTTCTATTCTTTTTATCCCTCCTTCCCCCCACCCCTATAAGGCACTGCGCCGTGTCGCCTGAAGGCAGACAGAAATTAGGTGCCTTTTTCCTCTTCATTGTAACCACTACCACCACAGTTGGAAAAAAACGGTGGAACTGGCCGCATCATCGGTCGGCAAAATGAAATAGCAAGCAAAGGTCGGTGGTCTGTTTCGACTGTCACTGATAACCCCAGTACGAACTCCCGGAAACGCTCACAAGCAAACGTCACGGCCAGCGCTTCCTTTTCAATTTGGGCATATTTTGTTTCAGCCTTTGAGAGCACCCTTGAAGCATAACCCACTGGGTGTCAACCTCTAACCTGCTCAACCGTGGTCGCCTCTGACGAGGGAAGGTTCAACCACGCCAGGTGAGCTTGAACAGTCACCCTTTATACGTCGGCAGCAAAGCGGGGGGGGACGCGATCGCAGGAGAACCACCCTGATTAAACCTGTCTGCACAATCGTAAACAGTATCATTCAATATTCAACTGAAGTTAGCAGCAATCATGGGCTCCATTCTGAGCTTTTCCTCAATAATGACGCCCCTAGAAACCAGAACTACAGCGTCCAAGAATTCACAAGATGGCGAGTACAATGAAAGTCCTCGTTGTGCACGTTAGATAGGTCGGTGCACCGGAAGGCAGCACTCCCAATATTGGACGTGTTACCGATAATGCCGTGAGATCCACAGCGCACCTTCGCAGAACATGGGCGCTTCCATAGCTAAGCCATATATATATTTTTTTGATATCGCGTTCATCAAAAACGCGTGCAAATAAATTCGTCGGCTCGTGGCTGAAGGGATCAAAATGGCGGCGTCAGTCAACATGAGAAATGCCCGCTTCCGGTATATCTAGTCTTCAGCAGGCCGTGTACGGGTGAGTACTTCTTGACTAATGAGTTTGTTACGCATTTTCACAATAGTTTCGTCAGCTGCACGTTGGTGACAAAATAGGAGCTTGTTTTGGTAGCTTTTTGATCCGCGGATTTTGACTGATCGATTGACTTTTGTTGCACTTCACGTGATGTGCCCTCTCTTGTTGCCTTCAGCACCTTAATATAAACAAAGAGAAATTAAAAAAAAGAAAAAAAGGGGCAAGTGATCTTCTCTAACTGGTGAGCTTGTTATTGCTGTGCATGACATTATATCTTGTCGGCTGTAGCCTTGTATTAATAGTGCCATTGTCCCGTGTCTGCTTATTCGATGATCCGTTTGTTCGTTCCTTCGTTCGTTCGCTCGTTACAGATTGCACAACCCTACATTACCTGAGCTGTGTCATGTTGATCTTGGTAATGCTCACATTTGCTATAGATATGAGCTGTGATGCTGGGTGTGCTACTATACTTGGTGAGAAATCTTTTTTTTTCATATCATTTGATTAGTGGCGCCGAAGTCCTAACCAGTGAGTATTTTTGTTTACTGCCATCGAATATAGAGGACGCCATCGCCTGTATTGAGATTTTCTTCCTTTGTTCACTATAAAATGGGAGTACCACACACTGTCTGAATTGTATCGCGTTGCCAGTGCTAATGCTCACGTTTGCCATTGATATGATGCTTCACCGCTTTGGTTAAAAATAGTTCTGTTAATTTTAGACAACCTCTTCATTAGCGACGCAGAAGGCTTGACGCGAAAGTCTTCTTTGTTTGCGTTAAACGTCTAGAGATGGCGCCTTTGCCTGCATCGGGTTTCTTGCACATTCTCGTTACCAGTGGCACCACTCCACGCTAGCCGAGGGGTCGCACGTTTCCTGCGGCAAAGCGCACTGAAAAGCGGCCTCACATTTTTGACTTTGTATTTGTACATCCTCTAGATGGTGCCGGATGTGTTTGCGCGATGATTTTACACACTTCTGTAGCACTAAAATATATGATTATGCCACGCCGTGCACTCTATCTACGGGTTAACGTATAGCCCGTCATAATGACGTGGTACACTCGTGCTCATCTTTCTATGCTGTAATCTGTTGTTGGACATAGATATTTTTAGAGAGTGTGTACATGCTTGCGCTGTTGGTTGAGAGACCGGGGCCAAATATGCAATTGCATCAGCTTCTACGCGCACTGTCCCGTTGTCGAGCGGATTGCGCAATTTTTTTTCAGCATCACATTTGTCTTAAGTTTTATCTTAAGAGGATTTATGTTGTACGATGCTCTTGTGAGCATCGTCTCGGTAGTGCCAATGAAATAAGCTGCATTTTTTTTTTCATTTTACTGTGCGCCTCTGAAGGTAATCGCCAAAGACAAGCTTTATATTGCTGGTATAACTTTATGCGAGAAATGGAAACAAGGCACATGCAGTCAATGCGAAGTACAGGTGCATACAGTCAGTGTTAAGTGTCGTTTATGAGACAGGAAGCTACAAATGTGCAACTCACATCATAACTGTGTATAGTTATATGATGCTAAGTTACTGTATGTTATCTGAAAGGAACGTGCGTATCTTTACCTTTGCTGCCTGACCCGGCTTGTCAGACAGTGCCATCTTGCAGTGTTCCGCTAATTGAAAACCGGTATGAAACTGTGTAGGAAGTTTGCGTGAAGTCCTTATTTATTTCTCGTTCACAGTATACTTTTACAAGATTAGTCTTTCGTTATGGTACCCCGCTTGACGCGTCTATAAAAACCAAGTGAAAGTGGGAGTGTCCTGAGTAACGGGATAGCAAGTAAACCCGATCCGAAGAAGGCCAATCAAGATGCAATGAACGCCCGTCCAGAGGACCCACGAAACAGCGTATAGAGGCATGGGCTGCCCATTACAACTTGGGAGCACCTAAAAGCTCGCCTGGAGCCCTAATGGGTCTCCCCCGCCCAATGTCTTAGGAGTTCAATAAACCTTTGCCCCGTCCTTTTGTCGATCCGTTCGTTTGCATGCCTGCCTGTCTTATTTTTATTATCAAGCAATGCGCCAGAAAAGTGCGTGCGTTGTACAACGCAAGTGAAGACAAAAAAAAAAAGCTTTCGAGCTGCGTTGTTAGAAAAAACACTGCAAAGCAGTGAACATTTTTAGCTACAATTCGCTGCCAGCCACCTTGACGTTTCGCTATTGCAATCAATATTAAAAAAAGCCACAGTGCTGAGACTTGACAAAGCTCCAGACCCCTAAGTGTTGAGCAGCATAAATAATCAAGGTACCAGAAATGATTGTGCTAGAAATAAAACGCATTTGAATGTAGTTCACTGCTACATGCAGTGTTTTTTAGTGGAAAGTAGAAAAAAATACCAAAGAATCTGCTTTTTTACGAACCATTTTACATAGTATTACGCATTGATACGACAAATAAGAAGAGAACGAGCGGGATGAAGAAGACGTCGCTTTTCGAAGAAGTGTAGCTCATACAAAACAAGTTAAATTATTAAATAAGCCAACACATACTGCGAAGGCGCATAAACTATAAGCGTCCTGTAATCAGGGACAAATGATATGAACGTTAGATTTTGATTCTAATCTAAGTAGAAATGAGTTACCCAAGCAGTGCGCAGTTTTTTTAGTACAGGAAGTATAGAAGCCTTTGTTTATGTGAACTCAAGTTGTAAGTCCTGTACGTGAGGAAGTTATTTTCAAGGCATAAGACAAAACTCATAAGGAGCCCAAAAGAACAAAAATGGCGAATGCTGACTTCATGAAAACTGTTTTGGTATAAGAGAAAGAAATTCTTCTAAATAATTTGAGAATTTATATGCTGTTAATGAAGAACAGAGACCCACTTAGGCCGCATATCTGTTGGAATGGTGGCTTGACATATTCATAGCGTTTTTGGCGTACAGCTGAAACAGTTGCAAGCAATTTCACGGGTTAAAAGGGTGTAAATTCGGGCAAACGAAACAAAACAAAAGAGCATGCTAGAAGTAATGATGATATTTCCACCCTTGCCTATACTCTTTACAAACTGAAGCATTCGTTGCTATTCCTGTGGGCGTTTTTGAACTTCTCAAAGTCTTCCGAATTGGAACCTAATCTACTGAGGAAACGTTTGCAGTTCTTGGAAGGTATATCGTTAAACTTTATTTCATTTCTTTTTACAGACCTGCTTTTGATTAGTATACTTCACGGAGGTGCATTTGTAACAATTTCTGCAGCTTCAGTGTCAAAACAACTTAGGCACGTAAGTTTTGCCCCTGGTAGTGAAAAAGTGAAAATGGTGGAATAAATAAAAGTGCTTCCATATTACATGTACACTTCTGGGATATGACGGGGACGGCAAAAATACACCTGGAGTCCACAAAATTGCTATCACTATAAAATAAAAAAGAGGCCGTATTTTCGAGCTCCTCACTGGGATATATAAAATGCCTCTTATTTGTTCTAATACGCTTGATCTTTCATTATATTCTTTACTCGTCTTTTCTACTGTTTGAAGAATGACAATGACAGCCAATATCTTCGTACATAAAAAGAAGGAATATGTGCGAGAACTAGGAGATGCTCAGGTTTTGAACCGTTTTCGTGTGTCGTGCAGGCCCCACGATGGGAGGCGAGCCGGTGCAAATCTTGCGTGTCGAGGACGGCAAAAGCATCGTGTTCAATGAGCGAGTGCTCAAAGAAGTCCTCTTGGCTGCTCGCGTCAAGGACCGCCCTGTTGTGGTGGTTTCGATTGCTGGCGCATATCGGCAGGGAAAGTCGTTCCTTCTCAACTTCTTACTGACTTACCTCAGGAACAATGGTCGACCGAGCTGGATCGAAGACAAAACCACCCCACTCAGTGGCTTCAACTGGAGGCCTGGCAGTACTCGTGAGACAACTGGCATCCTGCTTTGGAATGAAGTGTTTCTGGTGAGATTTTTACGTTGTAGCGATCATAGCAAAGCGTTTACACCTGCTTTTGCAGATGACCAACTTGAAGGGGGAAGAGGTGGCTGTTCTGCTGATGGACACCCAAGGGACCTTCGATTGCGAGTCGACAACTAAAGAGAGCACCATGATATTCTCGCTCTCCATGATGATCAGCTCTGTGCAGATTTACAACATAATTAACAACATCAAGGAGGACGATCTCCAACACCTTCAATTTTTCGCCGAGTACGGCAGACTCGCTCAAAAGGTATTTACAAGGCAAGCTTCATTTGACCAGTTTCATCGTCCGCTGACAGCTCTGTTTTTTGCAGGACAATCAAACACAAGCTTTCCAAAAGCTCCTGTTCTTGGTACGAGACTGGAACTGGGGGCATGAGCATGAACACGGTTACAGTGGTGGCAAATCTCTTTGGCGGGCCGTCTAAAAACAACAGATGGACAAGATGCAGAGCTGAAGGCAGTGCGGCAGAACATCTTGTCTTGCTTTTCGGACATCGACTGCTTTCTGATGCCCCACCCAGGAAGAAAGGTGCAATATTTTTTTAACGTTTTGATGCTTCAGCTGGGGTAAAGTGTTGACGCCGAAGCTAAGATTTTATGTATGATCAACCTCGTATTTCTTTACTTATCCGTTTATATGAGTCCAAAGACTAGATATAGGATTGTTGTGGGTTTGGCGAACGGGAAAAAAGATCTACAGATCATGCTTACACTAACCATCGCATAGCGTGAAACAGTGAAACTGGGCGGCTTTAAGGTTAATCTATAGTTGATTCTCTGTTATGTCAAGGCCTTAGGTGATGCGGGTTTTTTTTCTAGGTTGCCTAGCGATTGTTGCTAGGCTTTAGATGAATAAAACTAGGCTCTTTTCACATTGATTCTTAACGCATGGAGGTTCAAGGTAAACCACAGATGATGCGTATGTCTGAACTTCGCAGAAAGAGGCTAGCGCTAAGACAAAGCGTTGGAACCTCTCATAGCGGTACGGCCATATCGTTGGTTGTGTAGGCCTTCTATTGCTTAGGGGCCTTCGACCCGCCGCCGTCGCTTCGCACCCGTTTGATATATGGCTGGCTACTGATTTCAGCCTCTATAGCGAAGCAGTGGCCAGTGGACTTTCACTGTTTCTAAGACACATACCGTTTCATGATTAGTGGGCTCTGCGCAATTTCTGTGCCACGTTTACTTGTTGCCTTCTTCGTTTTAGCGGACCACTGGTGACAAGTGGGATTTACACAATTTTCGTGGCACAAACCTGTTCACAATGTTAGTTCTTCTTCTTGTAGGACAACGAAGGTTTTTGTTAAAATCCTTGTGCTAGATATATCCTACGGTGTCCCTGATTAGGTGGAGAATTCTTTTGTATATCTACCTGTTTTTATAACCTTTCAAGTGTACATCTCTGTGAAAAAAATATTTTATTTGCTTAACTCTCACATCAATGGTAACTTGCATACCTCAAAGCGAATTAGAATACACTTTCCTTTGTTTCAAGAAGTTATGATTACTATTTTTACAAGCAAGGTACATTGCGTGGCGGGAACTTTTCTATAAAAATCTATGCGTTATTAAAGATAGTTTCTCGTTTACTGAAATATATTTCACTGGAACGTTTTGTACAAGGTTAAAGCCATTTCAATTTACAATTGCAATAAACTTCAAGGCAAACTAAAGCACCTTGTTTTGCTTGCATCGAACTCTAGTGTTTAGGCACTATAACCTTATTTTCCAAGAACTTATTGAATTGAAAATGATTGATCTATTTCGGCTTCTTGCAGGTAGTGGCAGATAAGTCCTTCGATGGTCGTCTTGAGGATATCGAAGAAGAATTTCGAGAGAAACTTCGAGAACTTGTTCTGTCTATCTTGGCACCAGAAAATCTCTTGGTGAAGGAGATTAACGGTCGTCCGTTATCGTGCCATGATCTTCTGATCTTCTTTAAGGTAACTGGAAATCGCTTACGCAACACTGACATCACTAATGAGTTAAGAAGGGGTGTCCATCAACAGAGGGTTCACTTGTTTTCATTCGGTCCGATGCAGTGAGACGACCAAACATTGAAGTTAGGCAAGGTACACGGGACATTGCGCTTGCACTTTCCAACTGCGGTGTAGTAATGATTGACCAGAAGGCAAACCTTGTACATGAAAGATAAACTTGCCGCGAATGGATATCGAATTCAATTTATCAGAAAACACATTCGAAGCTTAATCACCTGGCATAAAACAAATGTTCCACACTTGCCGTCAACCTGCGAGTGGCTCTGGCCAGCAGTTAAAAAAATAGTTAGCATAAATAACCAACAACGTGGCTGGGAACCCTCAAATGGTAAAGCATCGGAAGCGATATTCGAAGGCTAACCTGGTCTCTTACAGTCTTTTATTATCATCAGTTTTCTAATTTGTCATGATTAGTACACTAAAGCAGGAAAATAGAATTATCCTATTTTCTACATGGTTTCATTGCCTGTTGGTTTTTAGACGATATCACAAGTGGCACTTGCTTTCGCAGGCTCATGTGGACGTCTTCAAAGGAGGCGATTTGCCGAATCCGACGTCCATGCTGATGGTAAGGCATAGTGAAATACGTTCGCCATTTTTTCAATAAAAGCACACTGTTTCAGGCGTCTGCAAACGCAACCAACATGGCCGCCGTGGACAAAGCCACAAAGCGTTATATTTCGGGCATGACGAATGTGAGTGATGATTTCGCTAAAAATCTGTTGAAGCGATTGAAACTAAAGCTGACTTTTTTTATTCAGAGACCTCGCAGAAATCTGGACCAGCTACGTGAGTTTCACTTGGGGTTGCTGGCCGAGGCAGTGAAAGTGTTCGACGAGTCTCCGAAGATGGGCGGTGAGACAATGTCATCCCCATCCAAGGATCTTCTTACAAAGGCAAGATCTTTGATGCTGCATTTTAAGTACTCTCCTTATAGCATCCGACCTCCAGACGCAATTTGAGGAAAGTGTTCTGTTAACCATGCAACAATCCATAAACAAGAATGAGAGTGAAGCCTATGAAATAATATTGAAAATAATGTAACCTTAATTACTCAGCTAAAATTCTTCTTAGACATTCGTACTAGGTGCTTTCGTCTTGGCAGATCTACCTTTCTGCACAAAAAAACTCTTTGTATTTCTCCAGCATAGTAATTTGGAGCCTAAAAAGTACTTAAAGTGTACCTAAAAACTTGCTCAATCAAACATTTTGAACTTATTAAGACTGTGCCTGTCACGGTGCTTGTTGTGTGCCTCAGAGTGTTATTGACTATGAAAGTCATATTAACCTCACTTTTAAAGTGATAACCGCCTGTATCGCAAGAACGGAACATAAACGAACTTTTTTTAGTATATCGTATTGGGGGTTTCTTGAAACAATGAGTTTGGGTATGTATCACATCGAATAATAAACCTAGGAAAATAATGTAAAATGTGAAATTGAGAAGTGTGTTTTAAAAAATGTTTAACGATTTCGAGTACTTTGTACTCAACTATGGGAGAGCAATGAGCCGTCCCGCTAAAAACACTAAGCTTAATGCTTTACGACACTCAGATGTCTCAGTGATAGCAAACTCTGCTCATGGAAAGGCGTGCCTTTCGTGCCCGATATCTTAGCGCTTAAGGTACTAAATAAATATTTTTGGACCCCTTTTTTTCCTTGTGTGTGCGTGCCTTTTGTAGTTGGTGTCTCACTTCAAACCATGAAGCCAAGAGAGAGAGAAAGGACTTATTTGAACACAGTGAACCAGCAATTCGGACTCAGTGGCTTTAGGTGGTGGCTCGTCTTCATGTCCTGTAATCTTTTTTCATATATCGCGGCATGTATACGTATTCCACGTCTGCACTGTAACCAAACTCTTTTTCAAGCTGTGCAGCTCGCTCGATACGTTCGACGTGGTGGATCGGGTGCATATTCTTAGGAAGCGGTGAAACAATCAAGTTGTGGCGGATCGAGGCAGGAACGTCCAACTTTGCTGAGTGTGGCATCTGATGCCCAGTGAATGACTCGAAGATGTGTAGACTCGTCTTTGACTTTGTTATGCGCTTGTATTGCGCAACGTCATGGACCTCAATCAACTCGTCGAGTGAGTTGTGAAGTTAGAACTTTTGAAACGTTCGGTGCTCGCGTCGATTGGTAGGCCTATCGCCCTCTTCTGTTTTAACTGTTTTGCTGTGGAGAGGTTGAGGTGCCTATTGCCTCGGCTACTCCATATCACAAAGTTCTGCAGCGATAAATAAAATAATAATACAGAACGGTACCCAAAAATTAACAATACGGAAAAGAAAAAAGCACATAATAGCACACTGAAACCAGTTCAAATAACATGCCAATACACAGTTTTCTTAACGCAGTTCACACAGTCATGAACCACTTACACGCACACCTTACTAATCTGATGTCAGTATATACATGATCACATTTTACATAATACCCATCTCTGGCTGTCAGTCATAGGCGCTTGTCCAGTCCGGTCTCCACTAAAAAGTCTGTCAGGAAGATTATTGCCTTTTTCTGGAGATGCATCTCAGGCCATGGTCCAAGTAGTTTCTTTATTGTGAGGGGCCGTCTGTACAAACTTGCTAATTTGTTCTTTTTTCTTTTTGATTCGCGTATTTAACGCACTCCAAAAGAATGTGGCGAACATTTTCTTCTGCTTGACCACAATGGCATTCCGGTGAGTTGGATTGATGTATCTTGTGCAGGAAGCTGTTTGTGTATGCTACTTCCAATCTAAGTCGGTGGATCAATGTCTCTAGGTATTGAGGGAGGTCTGTCGCTATGGAAAATTTTCTGTGTGGATCAACCTCATAAAGTACCGTTTCCTTTGATTTGGGGCTCTGAAACCACTTCTCCATCGAACAATGGTTAGCTCCTTGCGATATAAAATGTTGAATATCCGCCCCAGACATAGGGATTGTGCAATCCCGTCCTTCCTTCAATGCTTTCTTCGCGAGACTATCAGCATCTTAATTTCCCTTTATTCCAATGTGGCTCGGTATCCATTGGAATACGATGTTGTGACCCTGCGATGAGGCATATGGCACAGTTTCTGCGATACATTGTGCTATTTCACCATTTTTGTAAGGTGATCTCACATTTCTGATTAGCTGAAGAGCAGGTTTGCTATCAGTGCATATCACCCATTTTCGTGGCTCGAGATTCTCGCAGATAAGCTTAACTGCTTCAAAGATAGCCACCAATTCTGCTGTCGTCGATGAAGATTTGTGCGATAATTTGTACATCTTATTTTTCTGAATTTGAGGTATAAAGACCGCACAGGCTGACGCTTCTTCTTTGCATGATCCATCTGTATATATCTTCGTTTTTTCATTATGCATTACATGAAGCTGATGAAGTACCAAATGTGCCGCTACTAGAGGTGCCATGTCTGCTTTCTTCTCTATCCCGTCTATTTCACGGATAACGTTGAGAAGTGGCAGCGTCCAAGGTGGTTTTGAAGGTTTCCTTTGTTTAAATTCTATTACTACTGCTTGAAATGATGATATAGTATCCTGTAGTCTTGTTGCCGTCCTTTGTGTTAGTGCATCAGATAAAAAATTACTTTCATGTTGCGTGAAAATTCTAAATAAATTTCGAGATGTTTCTTTAGTTCGGAGTACTGTCAAAGGTGGCTCTAGAGCCTCCGCATACACTAAAGCACTGGAAATTGGCCGTGGTAAATCCAGACATACCCTCAAGCTCCTTGCCAATAACAAGTGAAGTCTCCTTTCGGTGGAGGCTGGGAGTCCGTGCAGCAGAGGCAGTGAGTAAGTTACGATGGGGCATATCCAGGCAACATGTAGGGCTAATAACGACTCTGTGGTACCACCCAATTTGCTCTCTTCAAAGCCTTTCGTATCATATAGTTGGTTTGCATTTTTCTTCCGAGCCTATTCACTTGATGTAGGAGGCAACGATTGTTATTCGGCATATCGCGTGTGCCTGCACGAGACGTATCGCGCAGTGTTCACGCAGACCGTTACGTCTATTCGTGATACGACGCAAGAATCGAATGGTGTCGTCTACTGAACGACAGAGACGGCGCACCGTCTCACCATTAAGACCATTTGCCTCTATATGTGTAACCCCGGAATTCTAATTCGGTCTACGTGTGATATTAAACTTCTCTCGTCAAGGGGGTTTAGGGGCCTCGACTTGTGGGACTGTACAACATATGTTCGGACTTGGTTGCTGAGCACTCGGGGCCTGTTTCTCGCAAACACTCCTGAACTTCATCTACTCGGACCTGCAGCGTTTTCTCGACGAGACCTTAAGGGAATGCGCGCAGTAACGCTCGTGCCTTTTGTAGTGGGCGGCCGACTTTCAACTACTAAGTCATTGTGATAATCACATGTGTTGACGCCCGATTGCAGTGTACGCTTGTACCACGCATAATTACTGCGACATTTTATGCTATATTCGAAGCATCTATACAGAACGCGCGTTTTTGTAAAATATGAAAGTTAGTTTCACTGTATTCAGAAGGAGAGGAAGTTATTTTCACTGTATTTACAATCAGACACACGGCTGTGTGGTAGAACACCGGCTTGCCACGCAAACTATCTGATTTAGAGCCTCACTCAGCCGGATGATCATTTATTCATTTCATTTGTGGCGTTTTCAATTTTTTGGTAACACACAAGATGATGATGTTTCGCTCAAATCCAACGATTCCACCGCTTACACAAATGCCGGAATTTCCGCGAAACGAGCTCTTTAACGCTGTTGCGTTAAAATCGAGGTCAAGCTTTCATTCGGAAATTTGGTATAAATAAGCGTAATCTGTGCGCATCACAAGGCACATTGTCTACGTTCAGACGGTGCTTATTCAGCGATGTTTACAGAAACTTGGCATGGTGTGTCTGAGAAGACAAATGACATCCTGTTTTGCTGATTGAAAATGCGGGAGATCTTGGCAAACGCCGTCAAAGTCATAGAAGTATCCCGTTTGATGCGGAAATTTCAAGTTGGCGTCGCCCCTCGAATTTTCGTTTCCCACAATTTCTCGCTTACCAAGTGTCTTCTCGAGGTAAGCGTGGCGATTTCGGGGATGGGAAGTGTAGTTTACTGATATGAAAACAAAGTTCTTTTTGATTTGTGCTCTTTTTATTGCAACTTGTAGGATTGTATGTGATCAGAGCCTTTTAGAGACCCCGTTGCATCAAATCTATATAATTGGTGCGATTTCCTTCCCTTCATTATTCTTGTGAAGGTCCAAATAGTTTTTTCTACTCGTGAACAACCAAAGCAGACACTTGAAATCATGATCTGGTTTTTTCCGCCACATCGCATTAGTTTGCTTTTGCTGCTGTCTTAAAAAATACACACTTTTGAAAAAATTAGGGGACCCCTAAGCTTCACCCTTAAGAGTTGAACGCGATAGCGAAATTTGGCCCCTAGTGCACCCTTCAACTGCTAAGTGCCTACTTATTCATGTTTTGTTCCATACACACGCACACACACAAACACGCACACATCAGATTGGACAAGCGCGCGTTATTATCACCGAATAGGCTCGTTTTCGTCGTGATACCTGTCGAACAAAATGCGTTAAAGGGGCCCTTAAACACTTTTTCAAGTACCCATGAAATGAATTCACTAGAAAAGCTTATTGCCTCACAAATTCAACGCTGCCAAAGTTTCTTTAGAATCCGTCCAGTGCGAGGGGAGTTACAAAGGTTTGTCACATGCTGCAATTGCATAATATCTTCTTTCGTCCCGGTGAAAGCCTGGATGCTAAGCAGGGAGAGGTGGCAGGGCACGCCTCGTGACCTTGAGCGTTTTTTTTTTCGAATCCACGGCTTCTTCAGTGTGAGCGCGCACGCACACGTGGACAAGTAGCGGCCTCCCGCGGCTATATCGGTAACTTGATTTTTCAGTCACAGACGCACAGACGATTTTTCGCTCACATCCAACGGGGCTGATGCCGGCGGTGGGTTTTCTGCGACACGCACTTTTAACGCAATCGTGTTAATGTGAATGCCGAGTATAAAAGTAAGTCTCTGATCACTGGGTCACTCTTGCAGGAACTTGAAGAACTCTACCGTCACTTCTATGAGGAAGAGAAAGAGCTCATCAGAATCGAGATGGAGGCGGAAGATAAGAGAGAGAGGGAAAGGCAGGAGGAGAAGAAAAGGGAAGAACAGAGGCAAAAAGAGCGAATCGCGGAGAAAGAAAGGTCGGAAGCAAGGGAAAAAGAAATACAAAAAGAGAGGGAGGCATTCAAAGATAAGGAAACGGCTTTTCAGGCACAAGAGGCCGCAAGCAAGGCGAAGCTGGAAAAGCTGACCGAAGAGATGGCTCTGGAGAGAAAACAAGCCAGAGAAACTGAAGAGAAAATTACCAGGGAGATGCGGGCAAAGGACGCAGAAATAGAAAGCTTGAGGAAGAGTATTGGGAAAAAAGAGATATTTTTAGAAGTCATCAAATTTTCGACCGTGCTCGCACACTGTGGGACAGCCGGTCTGCAGTTCGCCCAAGGTTTCACGCCGGCGGCGGTCGCTCCAGCAGGTAAGTCACTTGTGCAACCCTTGGCTCTTCTGGACATGATGCGGCACTTCTCGAAGAAGTAGGAGATTCAGCAGCAGCGCTGCCAACAGCAGCATGACTTCAAGACTTCCTTCGGGAAATCTGCAGCATGGCTGCTAAAGGGCAACTGTAGACACACGTGACCCTCGATTCCTTGTGCGAGCAATCATTTTTTTTACTGTTATACAGATGGCAGCACAAATATTCGAGCACGGAAACGATCAAATCTTGGCGTATTATTCAAGTATTATATCTATAATAAAAAGTAATAGAATGCAGAAGCTGTGTTATTAATATTATGTATACGGTATTGCCATACTCGTGCCCGTTACGTTTACGGTGCTCTCGTGGTCACCCCTTTCACTTGGCGTGAACCAAATTTAGCATGGAAAGGTAAGATGGTCTGACGAATATGACGCGCTGGTCAAGACATGAACAATGTCGGAATGCCGTCGCCTACATCGCCAAACACTTTCCGCCACGCTGTGGCACACACCCACGGGCCGGTAGTGCCACTGGTATGTGGGTATGTGCCACAGGTGACTGACACTTAGTATTTACCCAGGAACGACGAGAACACACGCGGGCAATTTTAATGTGCGAGCGTTAAGAGATACCCTACGTCGGTAGCGTCGACCCCACGAATGCAAATAATGAATGTCGGTGTCCCAGCTTGAATCGAACTTGAGCATTCTGCGTGCCAATAAAGCATTTTCCCACAGAGCTACGTCAGGTCTCGGAGCTGCTTTTCAAATAGACGCTAATCATCGTGAAACGTATATAGTTGTTGCAGTACTGCCTACTCAATTTCATAAACATTACATATGTACTTCTTTTATACCGCTGCCACGCCAGGATAAGGTCAATTGTGGTTAGTTGCCATGCGCTGAAGTTGACTTATGAAACAGTGTCCAGGGCTCGCATCCTCGCGAGCATCAGCGCTTCATATAAGTTTCTGGTGTTTCTATTACGCATGTTCCAGGGGGCGTCGTTGCGCAAGTTAAAAGAACTGGCTACATGAACATCTGAAACTCTTCAACATATGTCTGTGCCTAAAACATTTGTACACATATTTTGTCATTTCATGACGTGTCGCTCAATAAAAAAATTGCGACACGGTCACCCTCCCTCCACATGCTGCGCATAACGTCGATACCTAGGTTCTTGGAATCTGCCGATTTTTTTCTTTAGTGTTAAAACACATAAGGTAGATATGCCCTTTAGATTCGTAGTGTCTCAATGAAATACTCGGCAAAGCGTTGTGTCACCATATCATCGAAATAATTTCTCATGTCTTAACTTGCAAGACCCATATCTGATTTCTATATTTCATCTTGTTTGGTACAGCATCTTGAAAAGCAGTTTCTAAAGGGTTGCTCTACACTGAGCGTGGACATTGAAAATTTTTTCTCTAGATTAGCGCACAATTAACTCATAGAAGGTGTTGAGATATGCATGTCGCAGTTGCTGCTGACCCGCAGGTCACGGAATCAAATCCCGGCTTTGGCGGCTGCATTTTCGATGGAGGCGGAAATGTAGGCCCGCATACTCAGATTTGGGTGGACGTTAACGAACCCCAGGTGGTCGTACGAACCCCAGGTGGTCGAAATTTCCAGAGCCCTCCACTACGGCGTCTTTCATAATCATATGGAGGTTTTGGGACGTTCAACACCACGAATCAATGCATCTCACAGTTCTATGAAGAGCTTCAGTTTAGGGCGAAGAGCGGTGTCTCAATCGAATCCATTCTCAAAATCTTGTCCATGTACCTAAAGTCCACCGTCATTGGTTAGCAAGACAAAGTTTTGCGCCAAGAAACAGGCGTTTCCGTCGGATCGAAAGTTGCGCCTGATAAGCGATAATTCTTTAGCCACGTTAACATGTAACTTGGCCGCCACCTTGGTGTTGGTATTCCCTAAGTTTGTAGGCATGATGATTTTTGGAGATTTTTATAACAATCACAATCACAAGCAGCTGACCGATAAGATTATGAAACGTTTTCAGGACTGTGGCCATGGTCTTCGGTTCACCTCCGAATTATTGGAGCAGCAGCAGGTGCAGTATGTTTATTTACACCTGCTGGTAACTCCATAGCATGTATATTAGAAGTACCAACCCGGAACTAAAAAAAACACAACTGTGTTGCATGTAAACACAGCGCACTCAAAACTCTTCAAAACTGGCATTTGCTTTCAAATTTGTCTTCTTCATTCAAAACGTTATGCAATCATCAGGTGTTAGACAGTTTCTTAGGCTGAAGACAGCTGGTTATGGCAACGCTGCGGTCACCACTTCACGCAGTAAGCACAATCAATGAGTAAACACCAAAAACGCAGAAACCTGTTCTCAGCGCAAAACTCGTGCCAGCGATTTCACTGTTGTACCATGTCTACATCACTTTTCTCATGGTCCGAAGAATGTTTCCAATCGGTACAAGGTTGATTCGATGTTTTCGCCTCCAGAAGATTGGAAGAATTTGCCCACTTGAAAAAGCAGGTTCGTGTGCAAAGGCTATTCGCACAACTAGCCATGTCCCCAGCTTCATAACTTGCATGATAGGTATTAGGTATATGATAACTTTGTCATGCGGTAAAGCTTATGTGGGACAATATATGAACAAAAAAGTATGGCGTTAGTGAATTCTGTTGTTTATCTCGCAGACGCCGGCTAGTTAAGCGAGAGGAGTATGGTGTCGAGTCCACAGTTTAACGAGAGAAAAAAACATTTCCTGACCAATTTCTTGTTTCTTATTTGAACAATTCTATTTCATCTGTTTTACCAAACTTGAATGGTAGTACATCACAGGCAATGTGTCTCTACAGCAGTCTCACTATTAGAGGAAAGTGTGAAGTCTCTATTTCGAAGGAGTAAAATGTCACAACGGCCACATTTTGTTATGTATGCTAAAATATTGATGCCAGTCAACCTTGTATTTGTAGATAGGCGCACGTTTAAGAACCCCCAGCTGGTTGAAGTTTTCGTAACTCTTCACTACAGCGCTCTTCGTAATCATATCGTGCATTTGGGACGTGAAAACCGGATATGATTAGCATTCCGGTTAAGACAGTTAAATGTGAGTTGAAGTGGTTTAACGCCTATGTGTGAGAAAACATAGCTTGCGTAAAACCGACAAAGATATGTGAAGAGAATGAAGATTTTGTAAGTGTTTGGTTAGTTGTATGTGTGAAATCGAGATATTTTGAAAAAGTTCACTTTTACCGGTATTGACCCCAGCAAGCAAATATAGAAAGCTAGTTTCTTACATGCAAATTAAAGGCATATGTGTATTCTCGTGCCTGTGTCATTTCTGCGTTATTTTGGCACAATTTCTCTGTTCCTTTCAGGGTGATGTGGATGTTACTATAATAGTTATTATAAGTAGCCAATAAACAAATGAGAGAGAGACAATGATTAGGTGAAAGACACGCGCGTTGAAAATGCTGTAGGCCCGTGTGCTCAGACATGACACACATATCGTGATTATCATGTTTGGATATGTCATTTAATTATGTCGACTGTTCGCGTCACGTAATACCAACTTTGGTACACGTGGAGCTAGCGAAACAGCCGCGATAGCATCATGAGCGTAGCATGTAGTCATGTTGTTACATGACACGCATATCATGTTTATCATGTTTGCTCCAGTGACATACATAATCATCCATTCTCGTCCCGTAATACGAAATTTGGCATAAGTGAAGCTAGTGGGCATGTAGCGCGTAGACAGGATAACCGCTGGTCATTAAGGGTAACAAACTGGATTCCCAGAGAAAGGAAGCGGGTTAGGAGGAGACAGAAGGTTAGGTGGGCAGATGAGATTAAGAAGTTTGCGGGTATAAATTGGCAGCAGCAAGCACAGGACCGGGTTAACTGGCGGAACATGGGAGAGGCCTTTGTCCTGCAGTGGACGTAGTCAGGCTGCTGCTGCTGCTGCTGATGATGATGATGATGATGATGATGATGATGATGATGATGATGATGAAGCTAGCGAAATGGCCTGCAGCGCATCTGAGCGTGGCATGTAGTCGTGTTGTTACATGACACGGCATCTCATGATTATCATATTTTCAGCAGTCACATACCTTCGTCATCTATTCACGTACCGCCCTGCCACCGTGGTCTAGTGGCTAAGGTACTCGGCTGCTGAGCCGCAGGTTATGGGTTCGAATCCCGGCTGCGGCGGCTGCATTTCCGATGGAGGCGGAAATGTTGTAGGCCCGTGTGCTCAGATTTGGGTGCACGTTAAAGAACGCCAGGTTGGTCGAAATTTCCGGAGCCCTCCACTACGGCGTCTCTCATATTCATATGGTGATTTTGGGACGTTAAACCCGGATATCAGTCATCAATCTAGACACGCTCTTTAACCAGAAGAAAATTTCTGGTTTCTACGCTGCACTTGGGAAAAGGAAAGAAGTAGAAAGGTAAGCATAAACAAATTACGTTATGAAACCACAATCGCAGTGTAAAATTATTTCTAAACTAACGCATGCAACCTGAACAAGATCTATAACCATTGAGGTTGTCGAAAAAAAAAAAAACTGGGATTCCTGCATAACGCCGCAGCGCAAGGCTGTCTCTAGGAAGCCTTGGTATTGCAGACCTATTGCGCAAGCAGCTGCAATAGCGCGCTGCTTACTTCCTCGTTCGGCTGCTCTCTTCTATTCATGCTTCTTGCGTCTGGAATTCGTCACTTGGCGCTGTCTCACAAGATCTGTCTATATAAAGTTAAATTCCTATAAGCCGAAGGGGTCGAACGTATTGTAAATTTCGCCACTTCGGCCTGTCGATAGTTAACTTTTGGTTATGGTATGACAGCCCGCAGTATTATCATCAACGATGTATGCTTATTTGGAACAGTTCTCGCTTTTTAAAAGTTAATGGTACCATATATGTTATATATAAGATAAACTATTATTTCGTTAGCCATTTGTCTTCATTGCGTTTGCGGCATACGGTTTCGATTGTTTGATAAATCATGTTTCAGTGTTGTTATAAGTTTTGCTTCACTGTTTCCATTACAGCTTGAGTGATGTTTGTTCAATCAACACATGGTCCGTTTTCCTTACGGTTAGACTGCTAGATTCCACAGTGTATGGCAACGATGAAATCAACAACTAGCGACGTGGTGCTAGAATTATTTTAGGTTTCTTACGCTGTCCTGCATACACTGGCACGTAAAAAACGTTCGTATCAGCTTCCTTATAAGCGTATCATAGCTACAAAAATGCGACTTCTTCCTACTTTTGAGGGTACTTTCGTATTCAAAGCGCTTCATTGGTTT